TCCCCTGATGGGTACTCACCCTGTAGGTCGTCAGTTGTTGTTGCAGTCCTTCAGTTATTGTTGCAGTCCGAGTTCAGTTGGGGTGGTTGCGGGCTGGGTTGGGCGGCCCCCCGCCGGGTCGTTGCGATCGCGATTGGGCGGGTGGTCGGCGGACAGGTCCCTTTGTGGCGCTGCTGGTGCCGGGCGGCTTTGGCGGGATGGAGCCTCTCCGCTCTGGTGGAGAGTGATGGGTGGGGTGGGATCCTCCTGGAGACTCCCGGCTGGTAGGTTTCTCTGTTCCTGGCGATCCGCTGTTCTGCAATCCGGTACCTGGTGATCTGCAAGCAGCCCCCTGTGTCTCTGTGGCTCCGGCAGCCCCTGCCGGGCCGGCTGGCCGGCGGCTTGGCGCACTGCCGCGCGGCCAGTAAAGGTTGGGGGAGGGGTCTTCGCTCTTCTCTGTTCTGAAATTCTTCTTTTCCTCTCTTTCTTTTTTTGTTATTTTCCACCTCTGGTTTTTCTCTGAGTGTTCGTCTTTTTGTTGTTGTCGGTCTCTTGGGGAGATTAAAGGTTGGAACTCGAACTCTCTTTTTGGTTGGAGAGAGCTGTGGCGTTTCCCTACTGCCCCGTCGCCATCTTGAGGACCCCTCTGTTCTCCTTTGTTTTCAATTAAGTAGTTGAGGTCCTTTTTCTTTTTAATCAGTTGGTGTTTTAAAAGTTACTTATGGAAAAGAGTTTGATTTTCTTGTTCGTTGGACCTGGTCATCTCCCTAAGCATCAAATATACATCTACGTTTTTAGTAGCTGGGCAATGTCACAGGGTACTGTTGCTTGCTACCATGAGTTTCCTAGACAGGTACCTTGGTAATCCTCAGTAACACTGTTTTGGATGTCTTCATTTATTCTATTTGTTTTTGGTTTTTGAAATATGTAGCCTTAAACTCATGATGCTCCTTCCTCAGCCTCCTTAGAATTATAAATATGCACCACCGACCTGACTCAGAGTCTTCTTCCTTCCACTACTTTGTGGTTATATTTTGAGGGTTACATTATAGAGTGCTATTTCCAATAAATAGATTTGTTTTAGTTTTCACTTTATTTCCTCTAAAAACTGCTACCACTACGGTAGCTTAAATCATAGAACAATATAACTTCACAGATTACATGCAAAACAAACCAGATCTTATCAATATTTCCCTAAGAATTTGGACTTAACTATCTAGATAACAAATGCATTTTCATGTATTAGTTTCTGATTGCACAACTTAATATTTTTTTTCCACTCAGGTTTTTGTAGTACATGAAATCTTCAGTGGTGAAATATGTTTTTTGCTAGTATGTGCATACTATATATATGTTATATATAAATACATATATAGTATACATATACATGTATAATATATAGTTACATATGCATGTATAATATATAGTTTATTATTAATATGTGTATGGATACAGTATATTTTTGCACTTGGGTTTACTTCTAGTAATAATGTTGAGTAAACATTAAATTAAAATGGTATTTTTGTCTCTCATCTTTCTGTATGGAAGAATGTCGAGAATTGCATTCCCTTTCATATATTCTTTTTGACATCATGTAAGATGAGAGTTAGGTGAACATGTTGGGTTAGACTCATTTAATGTGACAGCATGAATAGTCTGAATTATTTACTGTTTTTTCTTTAATTAAAAGTTTATATTCCTTGTTTTCATTAAGACATTTCATCTCAGACATGTTCCATGTAAAGTTAAAATGATTGGCATTTCATCTAGTTTTTTTTATTTGTGGAAAAACAAATGACTCTGGTAGATTGTCAAGCATAAGGTTATTCCAGACTATGTGTTGTACATATCTGACTGTATTAATAAAGGATTGTAGCTACAGCTGGGCACCAGTGGCTCATGCCTGTAATCCCAGCTACGCAGGAGGCTGAGATCTGAGAATCATGGTTCCAAGCCAGCTGGGGCAGAAAACTCTGTGAGATTCTTTTTTCTTTTCTTTTCTTTTTTTTTGTCAGTTGTGGGGCCTGCACTCTGGGCCTGGGCACTGTCCCTCAGCTCTTCAGCTGAAGTCTAGTGCTCTACCACTTGAGCCACAGCGCCACTTCTGGCTTTTTCTGCTTATGTGGTGCTGAGGAATCGAACCCAGGGCCTCATGCATGCAAGGCAAGCACTGTACCACTGAGCTACCTTCCCAGGCCCCTCTGTGACATTCTTTTTTTTTAATTAATAAGTTTTTTATTGTGAAAATACCCTACAGAGGGGTTACAATGACATGAGCAAGGTAATGAGTAATTTCTTATCAAACATTGTTGCCTCCCCCTTTGTTTTTCTCTTACCATTTCTGCCCTCCCATCTCCACAACTACACTTTTCCTCTACCTCTGTGAGATTCTGGTTGTTTTTTTTTTTTTTGGTCATGGGGCTTGAACTCTAGGCTTGGGCGCTGTCCCTGTGCTCTTCAGCTCAAGGCAAGCGCTCTACCACTTGAGCCACAGCACCACTTCTGGTTTATTAGGGGTTTATTGGAGATGAGAGTCTCACGGACTTTCCTGCCCGGGCTGGCTTTGAACCTTGATCCTCCGATCTCAGCCTCCTGTGTAGCTAGGATTACAGGCGTGAGCCACCGGCACCTGGTCTCTGTGAGATTCTTATCTCCAATAAATGACCAGAAAACTGAAGGTAGAACTGTGGCTCAAACTTATAGAATGCTAGCTGTGAACAAAAGAGCTCAGGGATTGCACTCAAGCCCTGAGTTCAAGCCCCATGACCAACAACAAAAAAGGATTGATCTTAGTTATATAGTATCTTCCTAGAACACTGCTTTCAAATATTTCACGTATTTGGCTTTTGAAGAGCTGCAGAAAGAGCAGAAGAAATCAGGAAGAGTGTCTTGCTATCATTACCTAATAGGTCACAGAAATAGAGAAGTATCTCACTGGGTTGTGAAATGAAGACACAATTCTTATAGGAGAATTGATATGAAGTGTGACACCAATGCTTCATTGTTGTATTTACTTTCTTCACAGATTTCATTCATGTTATGTATTTTCATATGCTGAATATTTTGTGACTTGAAGCTTTTAAATTATTAATTACATTTTACATATATTTTAACATACATATATATACTTTATATTAGTTATATTTCTAAGGTAGTATTTAGGAAAAAAACACAATAAATGGACTAGTAATAATGATAAGAATAATAAAATGTGACCCAAAACAAAAAAGCCCAAAACTGCAACAACAAAAATCTTTTTTTTTTTTTTGGGTCTGGTCGTGGGGCCTGAACTCTGGGCCTGGGCGCTGTCCCTCAGCTCTTCAGCTCAAGGCTAGTGCTGTACCACTTGAGCCACAGCGCCACTTCCGGCTTTTTTCTTTTTGCTTATGTGGTGCTGAGGAATCGAACCCAGGGCCTCAGGCATGCAAGGCAAGCACTCTACCACTGAGCCACTTTCCCAGCCAAACAACAAAAATCTTAATCACTCAGAAAAAAAAAATAAAATAATTGGAATAGAAATCTAAGAACCCCCGGCTAATATATCTAATTTTTTGCTTAAACAAAAAAAGTTACATTTACCCCCTCTCCATTCCCTTGGAATGCTTAATATTCATGTTTCTTCCCTGGGAAAAAGAAACCCAAGTTAATTTTTCTAGTTAGAGAAAACAGGTTTCGTGGGGTATAATTTACATACCATAAATTTTATTCCTTTACCAAATATAGTTCATTGGTTTGTAGCGTATTTTCAGAGTTGTACAGCTATTTCCAGAATCAATTATAGATAACTTTTTGTCACTATAAAAGGAAATTAGGTATTTATTAACTGTTATATTTTATACGCTGTTCCCTAATTTACAGTAACTTTCTTGTGATTTGAGGGGCTTTGTCCACTTGTGTTTCCTTTATCCTTCCTATTCACTGCAAACTTCACCTCACCTTTTATTAAGCACAGAAAATTGAAGCTGGGCGCCAGTGGCTCATGCCTGTAATCCTAGCTACTCAGGAGGCTGAGATCTGAGGTTCATAGTTCAAAGCCAGCCCAGGCAGGAAAGTCCATGAGACTCTTATCTCCAATAAACCACTAGTAAACTAGAAGTGGCACTGTGGCTGTAGCGGTAGAGTGCTTGCTTTGAGCTGAAGAGCTCAGGGATAGCGCCCAACCCAGAGTTCAAGCCCCACAACTGACGAAAAAAATCCAACAAAACAAAACAAAAAAACCCAAAAAAGTGGAAGGCATTGTAGAGGCCTCTGAGATACAAATCCTTAGTAGCAATTGTTCTGATGTTTCTAGTTGTAAATATTGGCTTTCACAAATGCAGAGGACACTGTCCTCCTCCCCTATTTAATGGTATTGAAGAGATAGTTGCAGGAAATCCCTTATTTTGCTGACCAGTTGCTAAATTGCTGCCAGATGTATCTGCAGATGTCCTTCCTGAAAATCAGTAATCTGTAGGTCAGCCACAATATATAAAATTCTGCCTTTCTAGAAAGTAATCTCCTAAAATCCCCTTTAAAAAAGATTCTATCTCTGGAAAGATAGCTCATAGAAATATCATCTGCCAATATAACATATTAGCAGGATTAGTTTCGCCAGCTTATCCACAGAGCTCTCTGAGAGCTTCACTATTAGGAAGGGAAAATCAGGTCCAGATTAGATGGTGCCAGGGAGGAATGGGATAGGGCCTCCCCTGCAAAAGGAAGTAGTAGGGAGAGGAATATGAGGAAGGGAGAAAAAATCAGATTTTGCCTTGAGATAATCATGATGATTGTATTTCCTCACATAAGGCTGCAATTTAAAACATACGCAAACCTTAATTTGTAAGGCACTGCATCGTTAAAATGATCCAAACACACTGAAGCTGGGGATACCAGCTCTATAAAATCTGTCTTCAGTGTGACCAAAAGATATTCTGGTAGACTGACTTTCGTATTATTATACATTTAATTCTGTGGTTAGAATTTCTCCGAGAGACAATATTTTTGCTATATACTTCCTATGTATATCACCTGCTTTATTCCAGGCAATAACCATATGAAAGAAGAAAATTATGCAGCTGCAGTGGATTGTTATACGCAAGCCATAGAACTGGATCCCAATAATGCAGTTTACTACTGCAACAGGTAACTGGGCACATCAGGGCAGGTTTTCCATTCTTAATCATTTGGATCACTGTACATGTACATGTAAAAACCTGATATGCAGGAAGGAAGGTAGAAGGAACTGAACATTTTATTGATTTAGAAAGTTTTGAAAGCTTAATTAAAAAAATATAAAGGAGGGGAAAAAAGAATCTTACAAGTTTGCCATTTGGAGGCAGCCACTCTTAGTAAGTTTCTGGCATATTTTGTTTTATGTAAGTGCCTGCAGTTTTAGATTTAACTTTGTTTACTTGGATAGACTATAACTGTGTCCTAATGTTGCTGAAACATGTCTTAAACATTATTCAGTAGTTATAAATTAGTCTTAGGTCTGGCAAACAAATACTCTGTTATTTTTGAATCAGTAGCTAGATGAAACTTAATTGACTCTTGACCTACTATGGGAATTGAGGTTGTTTCCATTGCCCCTCCCCCCAATATCATCAAGGTACAGTAAACATTTAAGTGTCTAAGAATTTTTTAAGTGTTTTCCAGACCTTGACTGTTTCTGGGTTAAAAAAAAATCTTAGTCTTACTTAGAAATTTACTAGGAATGATTTCAGAATTGGGACAAGAAAAACATAAATTCATTAGTACCTGAAAATTAGTGCCTTGAAAACTACTTATAGTAGTGTATCTCTTTCCTTTCTCTTAGGGCTGCTGCCCAAAGCAAATTAAGTCATTACACTGATGCAATAAAGGACTGTGAAAAAGCAATAGCAATTGATTCTAAGTACAGCAAGGCCTATGGGAGGATGGGGTAAGTTCTGATACAATGTACTACCAAGTAGTATGAGGTACAGGTTTTAATGGTTTTAACTTTTAATTTCCTGCTTAACATTGCACCTTCTGAGCTAATTATAAAGTAAAGATAATATAAGGGAGAAAATGACTACAATTTCTCTGACTTGGTAGTGAGGTGAGTAGTTATTTTATGAGTGGTTGTTAGAGAAAAGTCATATAAATGTGAGTCAATTCATTTCATGGCTATGTCTATAAATCTCAGGATAAGCACTAAATACCGCCAAGTAGTCTTACTATTTTTCTTTCTGAATTCACTTTTCTATTCTTGGTATGATTATTTCAACCTTTTATCCCATTTTCATTATTCATCTATCGTGACTCAGCTGATGATATTACTTTATGCTTGAGAAAATAGACCCATTTTGAAGAAGACTGTTTTTCCTACTTCCAAGTTCATTGATCTATCTACATTTGTATCTTTTTAGAGTTTCTCATTTTATGCCTGTTACAATAGAGGGCTCTATTACCTAAGACTATCATCTCTACCTTTGTATATGTGACTTCATGCTTGTAATGATCCTCTTTGTCTTCTACAACGTGGTTTTCTCCATCTCTAATAGCTAATAATAATACCAACCCCATAAAAGATAATTGGAAAAATCCTTAGAATCATCCTTTCACCCAGTGTTTCACTCCAACAACCACCTCACCTCTCAGTTCCTTTTTTGAAATAAACACCTGAGCCTGTCTCATTCTCATCAATTCATGTTGTATCTTCAGCTCATTACATATACCTTTGTCTATATTACTGTTATGGTTTACTTTGTCAACCTGATGGTGTTAAGGGATGCCCAGATTGCTGGAAAAACATTATTTCTGGTTGTGTTTATGGCAGTGTTTCTGGAAGAGATTAGCATTTGAAGCTCTAAATTTGAGTAAAGGTTACTTTCTCCAACAAGAGTGAGCATCATGCAATTCTTTGACAGTCCAAACAGGCAGAGGCCTGTGCTTGAGCAGGTGCACCTGTCATGGTCTCTTAAACCTTGGAATTCCTGGATCTCAAGTTTTTTGATCAATCTAGACGTAACACTGTTATCTCAGTGGTTCTCAAGGTTCAAGTATGGATTAGAACTGCACCAGTTTACAGATGGGAGCTTCCGTAATTGAATGAGCTAAAACTTCATAGTAAATCTCTTTTGATATATCTTCTTCTATGCTCCTCTGGAGAACCTTGACAAATACAATCACTCTACTGAGATAGCTGAATTCAAAGTCAACAGTTTGGCCATTATTTCATTAATTTTTTGAAGCTTGTGTTAAATTCTGAATTACCATCCTGTCCCCTTTTTTTAGTATTAGACACAGTTAACTTATGTTTGAAGCCTCTAGGATTTATCACATCTGCTTTGTGACTGAATGTTCTTTTCTACTCTGCCTTGCCAGTTCTTCCTCCTTTGCTACCTCTGAAAATGGTATATTCCAGGGCTTTTGTTCTCTGCTATTTCTGTTTATTTGTTCGCTCCTTTGACCTCATCTTGTCCCCTGCTTTCAAATGCCATCCATAGTTATTTTCATTACTTACAGAATCTGTACTTACACATTTATGAGCTTAGTAATTACTTGTAAATCCCAGTTCAGTATTGACTTACAATCCTTCCGTGGTCATTTATGGATATTGACTAGTTGTGAAACAATTGGCCTCCTGATGTGTACTATTTCAGCTGAGGCTGAATAAAGTGAGACTTTCTCTTTTTGCTTTAGCTTACGCTTAAATGATCAGTTTGGTAAATGTGTGTGTGAGTGTGTGTGTATAATCCTTGTGCCTTTTGTTTGTGATTTTGCTGTTTTCAGTGACATCTACATAAAAGTTGAAGTGTTCTCTTTTGTTCTAAGGGCAAGGCTCATACATACCTGCTTCACAGATAATGTGGATGTGTAAGATAAGCTTTCCCAAGAATGAGTTAGTGCTGTTTGCAATAAGATTAATGCCAATGAATCAACATGTGTATTAAATAACCTTTAACAGAAGCACATATAAAACAAGATTATAATTGATCAATTGATAACTGGTAACTTGAGGTTCATATGAACCCAATTTTTGCATTTTCCTGAGGAATAATTGTTTTGTATTTGCTAATTTAAAGTTCATGGATTCTTTACCAAATATAATGTCTGTATATTGTTTGATTTATTTGTGTGTCTGAACTCCATATTAATATATTAAACTACTTTTCATCTCTATGTGCATGTATCTCTATATCTATACATGTCTAGCTATAATTTTCTAATACATATGTGTATATATATACATATAAATGTATATGTATTTGTGTTTACACAAGATATTTTGAGTCTAAGATCCATATATGAGAGAAAATGAAAGTCTTTTGTCTTTTTGACATGGCTTTGCCTGGTATGGTGTTTTCTAGATCCATCAGTTTTCCTGAAAATCTCATTATTCTTAATGTCTGCATAAAATTCCATTTTTAGTATATACTTTTTATTGTAAAGATACTGTATGGAGGGGTTACAGTTACATGGGTAATGTTATGAGTACATCTCCTCTTGAGCATTGTTACCCTCGCCTTTGTTTTTCCCCTACTATCCCTTCTCTCTCCACCTCTCCCACTCCTCCCTCCTCCCTACCCCTGAAGTTGTAAAGTTCGTTTTCAACATAGTGTCTTGTGCATCTCATTGTTACAAATGGGTCAAACTGTATCTTTATTTCAGCTTTTTGTTATTTCCCTTCCCCTCCCCAAATTAGAAAAATGTATAAAAATAGATGCAGGGCTAAAATTCCATTTCGTGTATGTGTATATTTATATGACTACAATATATGTGTGTGTGTATCACATTTTCTTTATCCATTCATTCATTGTAGGGTATCTGGGCTCTGTCCATAATTAACTTGGCTATTATGAACTGCGCTGCAATGAACATGGGTATGCAGGAGCCTTTGTTGTAGCCTGTCATGTAGTCATTCAGATAATACCTAGGAATGATATCACTGGATCAGATGGGGTCGTTCTCTGTTTAGTTATCAATTTAACAACTAATGTGTTTTTTCAGGAATAGTCCTTTGATACCTCACAGCCTACTTTTTTATGGCAAATTGGTATTTATTGTTGCTCTAAGGTCTCCATTAAGTAGGAATATTGTGGGATATATTAGAGCATACATATAGTTTATAATCTTTTAAATAGTATTAGTACATTTCTTTTTGAACAGTGTCACCCCTTCCTCGTGCTCTCCTAGTTTTTCTCTTCCCTCCCCACCCACAAGTTATAGCATTCATTTTTAGCATAGTTTGTAAGTGAGTATCACTGCTGCATTTTTTCACCCTTTGTCCCACCATTTCTGTGCCCCCCCCCCACTTACCTTCTCAAAACAGATAAACTTACAAACAAAATGTACAGAAAACAAAAACAGCAACAAAGGGAAAAAACCCTTCATTTCCATTTCTTTGAGTTCATTTTGATAAACATTATTTCATATGATCATATGCACATAGCTGTTGAGCCTTTTTAATCCTCTCCTAAGAATATCCTCCTTTGGTCTAGAGTTTTGTATAATTTATCATGTTCTGGTGTACTTTTTTGTCTTTTATATGCATTGTATTTACTTGCAGATTTATAGGCACCTTCTAGTTACCACAAAATGAAGGCAACCATGCAGCCTATCTTTCTTTGGGTGTGACTAACTTCACTCAATATAATTTTTTTCAAGTTTTTCCATTTCCTTATGAATGGTACACTATCATTCTTGCTGATGGAGGAGTAGAATTCCATTGTGTATTCTCATTACCAGACTTATGTAACTGTAACCCCTCTGTACATCACCTTTACAATAACAATAAAATATATACTAAAAAGTTTTAAATATCAGAATAAAAATTTCCATCCCTAAAAATATTAATATTAATGCATTTCCATGTCACAGGATTGTTAGTATCAAAAATCTTTGCAACTCTCACTATAGACATTCATAAAGAAAATTACTTCACATATTAGGCTAAAAATGGAAGGGTAGGTAATTGAAGGGTGTCTCATTAACTTCATGATCCATAATGGACAACCAAGTTTGTCAGCAAGCAGAATGGAAAGAATTTAGATTTACAAGGTTTTTGAATTTAAGACATATTTCTGTCAATTATAGCACAAGGAGTAAATTGTAATCTTAGTTAATTATAATCAGAGTTGGACACTAGTACAGATATCTGACTTAGTGACATTCTAATGTTCTTTAGTATAAATTATATCATCCTGTATATTTCCTCCAGGCTGGCCCTCACCGCCATGAATAAATTTGAAGAAGCAGTTACAAGTTATCAAAAGGCTTTAGATCTTGATCCTGAAAATGATTCTTATAAATCAAATTTGAAAATAGCAGAACAGAAGCTAAGAGAGGTATCTAGTCCTGTAAGTTGTTATGTGAAATGAGTAATCACTCATTTCATTTATAATTTATTGAGATTAAATTGTAGTGGTTGGAATGATTTTCAGATATAACTCTTTTACAGACAGGAACTGGATTGAGCTTTGACATGGCTAGCTTGATAAATAATCCAGCTTTCATTAGTATGGTGAGTATATTTCCCTTTCTGGTCTACTGGCTCTGTTTCTCATAGAACTATGTCTTTCAGTAGCATTTTCTCCATACTTTTTAAAAATACAAACTTTAGGCTTCACACATTTATTACTATGCCCATTCTTGAAGTAACCAAAGGAAAAATTGGTTTAAAATGCCCAACTGTTAGTCTAAGCAGTGTTGACATATCTGCTTGACTGGTTTACTGTAGAGCAATAAATATGTGAGCATTTGGTGCAATTCCATACAGATACAGCTTGGTTCTTCTCTTGATGTTATACATGATTTTGTTACCAGTTTTTATCTGAATCCACTGGGGAATGAGATAATTTTGCTTTTGTTTATTGACCAGGAACTTGATTCTGAAAGTCTTGTGAGAAGACATACTGAGAACCCCAGCTAAGCACAGGAACCATGATAGCAGACTTTTTCCCATACTTTTATGAGAGGAGTTTCACTATGGCTGTCCAGCTGACTCCAAACTTTTTGGCTCAAGCAATACTCTTAGCCTTAGCCTTCAAACTAGCTGGGGATATAGACTCCAAAACTTTTAGGAACCAATGAGGTGGTGATGGTACTCATGTCAGAGATTCTTCATCTATAAACCTTCCTCTGAAGGAAACCAGAGATGGACCTGGGGAAGAAATAGCTTCCCCAAAGAAGCACATGTAGATATGAACGTTTTTCCTAGTGAAAAACCATGTTTTTCATTAGATAGCCACGTGAGTCTGAAAATACATGAAATGTTAGAAACCACTGGGTTATATGAAACTGGCCCTAGGAGGATATATGTAACAGTTGAGATGGGCAGATTTGGCTGTCGTGGTTCCCTAAGCTTGCCCCTCAGCTTTGTCAGCTTTGTTTTGTTTCCTAAGAGTTGATTTGGGGCTGAGTGTAGTTCAAGGGTAGATTGATTGAAAAGAAGAAAAATGGGATTTTGGAGAACATTAACAGAGTTCCAGAACTGTTCTACATGTCCAGGTAGTAAGGAGGCCTGCAAAACATCTGTAGCCCAGTAAGAATGAGCTTTTCTGGCTGGGCGCTGGTGGCTTATGCCTGTAATCCTAGCTACTAGGAGGCTGAGATCTGAGGATCGAGGTTCAAAGCCAGCCCGGGCAGGAAAGTCCATGAGACTCTTATTTTCATAAAACCAGAAGTGGCACTGTGGCTCAGCTGGTAGAGCATTCACCTTGAGCTGGAGAGATCAGGGACAGTGCCCAGGCCCAGAGTTTTGTCCCCATCAGAGCCCCATGGAATAGCCACATCTTCTACTTAGAGGGGAGCCTCTCAAGTATAGGAGATCCTTTATACTCTTATTAAACTATTAATTTTTCCTTTTGGCTTAATTGTCTCATCACTAATAGTAAACATTGTTATCCCTATTTCATTTTACAGTATTTACAGTATTGATCTGTGATCTCATCTTTGTGTGTGTGTGGGGGGGAGTTGTGGTGTGCTAGTGTGTGCTTGTACTGGGGCTTGAACTCAGGACCTTGCACTCTCAGCTTTTTCTTTCAGGGCTGACACTCTACCACTTGAGCCATACTTCCAGTATGGCTTTTTTGCTGGTTAACTGGAGATAGTGTTTTGGATTACTTCAAACCACAGTCCTTAATTCTCAGCCTCTTGAGTAGCTAGTATTATCGGCATGAGCTGCTGGTACCTGACTTGTTATGTCTTTTAGTGCCAGTTTTTCCAGTGCCTCCACATTTTTACTTTACTTTTTGTAACACACAAAACAGAACAGAACATTAGTATATACTTTAACTTTCAGTTCTCTGCCTTTGAAAACTTTTGCTAAAGATCCCTCTTACTGTTTTTAATGGGAGATACTATTTTTCAATTCTAGGCAGCAAGTTTAATGCAGAACCCTCAAGTCCAGCAGCTGTAAGTATATTAAAGAGCTCATTCACTTTCCTTTCTCCCTGGCAGGCTCCTAATTAGAACACATCAGCTCAGAAATAATAAAACTGTCCTGGATACCAATCAGAGAAACTTAAAGCCACTCACATTTAGCCTTCTTCTATAAAGTTGATTGTCTGTCTATTTAGCTATCTAAAACAGACTTTCCAGTTTTCCTACTGATTATGAATATATACTAATCTAAATAATGTATCTCTTGCATGACTTAGGATGTCAGGAATGATGACAAATGCTATTGGAGGTCCTGCTGCTGGAGTTGGGGGCTTAACTGACTTGTCTAGCCTCATCCAAGCGTAAGTGTTACTTAACAGAAATAATAAAAATATATTTTCTTTTTTAGTTTCTAAAGGTGCATACCAGAGGGTTTTTTAAAAATCTTTTACTGTTAATAATAATAGCTTCCCTAGAGTTAGTAAATCTGAAAGCTTATAGTTATCACTTTTCAGACAGAACATCAGAGATCCATAAGACCTGTGTTGTTAGGCAGCTCTACCATGACAAGAGCAATATACTCTTTTCCCTCCCTAAGGGACTCTCATGTACCTTCTTAGTAGAAGAAAAGAATAGTTTACATCCTTGTTCAATAGCTAGTGAAACAGAGGTACAAGTTTGAAACAGAGTTTTAGAACATACATGGCAGAGCTAACTACAGTTAGTCTTTGTTGGTTGTGGGGCTTGAACTCTGGGCCTGGGTGCTGTCCGCAGCTCTTCAGCTCAAGGCTAGCACTCTACCACTTGAGCCACAGTGCCACTTCCACATTTAGTCTTTTGACTAAATTTGATACTTGATTTTATTGTTATTAGGTCCTTAGTTTCTTTTCTGGAGATATCAGTACTAATTGTTTTCATTGACAAAAGGCCTAAGTATTGGTCACTTGCTACTATTGGAGTATATTGCAGTCTCTTGTAAAGGAATTAATGTTCCATTTTACCAGTGAAATGTAAGAAAGGTTTTTTTCTGGAAGAATTAAATACTTACTCAGGTTTATAGATGAAAGTCAAATTTCTATTTAAAATGTTTTAATTTAGATATACATGCATATTTTATAATCATGTTTACTTCAGTAATAGGGCACTTGGTTAACATTCTTAAACCATGGACAATGCAAAGAAATAGTTATTTTACGTGTTAATACCACTTAGAATACATCTCAAAAGTCATCACAAGAGGGACAACTTGGATCTTATTACTTTATCACATTACCTTCATTTCTACCATTGTGTAAGACATGTTTCTATTTGAATCTGTATCTGATGCTGTTACTCAGTTAATATTATTTCTATTATTTTTTTATTCCTTTCTTTTAGTACTGAGTTTGAACTCAGGGCTTTGTGCTCTTGTTCCTGGCTGGTGCTCTACCATTTGAGCCATGCCTCCAGCATACTGGTTATTTTGGAGATAGAGTCTTGTGGGCTTTTCTGCCAGGGCTTTCTTTGAACCATGACCCTCAGATCTCAGCTTCCTGAGTACCTAGGACTATAAAGGAGCATAAATCACTGGTACCTGGCTTGTAATTATTGTTATTTTCCAATTATCATACATATGTAATATGGTTTCTATGTGGTATTTCCATATATGCAAAAAAAGTATACGTGGAATAAATCTGACTTCTTAATCATATTTCTATTCTGTCACTGGAAGTTTTTTTTTTGTTGTTTTTTTTTTTGGGTCTGGTCGTGGGGCCTGAACTCTGGGCCTGGGTGCTGTCCCTCAGCTCTTCAGCTCCTCGCACTCTACTTCTTGAGCCACAGCGCCACTTCCGGCTTTTTTTTTTTTCTGCCTAACTGGTGCTGAAGAATCGAACTCAGGGCCTCATGCATGCAAGGCAAGCGCTCTACCACTGAAGCACCTTCCCAGCCCAATGTCACTGGAAGTTTTTATGTAAAGCAACTTTGACTACACAAGCATTTTTTAGAGCGATCTGTAAATGACGTGATTGTCACATCTAACATATGCAATTGAGGTCACAAACTCAGGGATTTGTGTTAAAATTCATTGCCTTTTAAAAATTAGCTGTTAGTTTATCTCTATAAGCCTCTCCTGCCTTATAGGAAACTTGTAAGACTTGACTCTTAAGGAGTTCAACTTGAAAGACTTGCGCACATACAATCAACATGTATGTTTGTTTCTCTATGGTTTACAGAAGGACAGATTTCACCTAATTCAAGTGCTCATTTTATAGTTTGGAGTTTGTTTCTTCTTTTCACCTAAAGGTTGAGAAGCAGTGGGTATTTTGTTTCTCATAAACAACTCTGCACTATCATAATGCTCTCTGGAAGCACTGGTAAAGTCATGGTTTGGAAACTTGTTTTTATAGAAGAGTTCTCTTTGGGTAGTCCTTTGTCTTACAAAGTTCCTCCCCACCTCAATGAATCTTATTGTACTTTCTTTCATCAGCTGCTAACTGGGCTCCAAATTATTTTCACTGTTTAAGCTGAAGGTCCCCTTACTGGTGTAAGCCACAGATCTCTCAGCACTCCTGCTGCTCTTCTCTGGAGATGCCAGATTATGTGAAGTTCTTTTTTGCATAGGTATTATGTGAATAGAAACTCCCTAACTCACTTTGCATTTTTACTACAGGGGACAACAGTTCGCTCAGCAGATACAACAACAGAACCCTGAACTTATAGAGCAACTGAGGAATCACATCCGGAGCAGATCATTCAGCAGCAGCACAGAAGAACATTCCTGATTTGACCAGGGACTCTAGTCCTCAAACAAAAGGTTTATGACTCTGAAGTATCCACTGTAGATAGTGTAGCCAAAAACAACAAAAAGCACCATATCTGACGTTTGAAAATAATAGAGGAAAACCTCTTGTGTATATTCTTAAAGAATATATCTGTTTAGACATTAGTTTTAACACAAATAGACTTGAACATTACGTGACTCTTTTGCGAAGAAAATGATCAACAGATGTGTTAAGTGCTAATACAGTACTGGGACAAGGGTCCATTCATTTTCCAACTTTTACCATCATATTTGTATATTAGACTTCATATGGGAATATATTTATTGAACAGCAGGGCTATTTATTGGTAAGTTGTTTAGCTCCAGATTCCCTTTGGCAAAGTTTTTTGAGAGGACAATGACTTAAGTAGAAAGGTTTTTTTTGTGTGGGGGTTTAAAGAAAAATAGTTGGCACAGAGTATGTCAGGAAAGAAGCTTATGATCCAAATTTAGATATGCTCCGTGCTGCCAGTATTGAATGCATTTCACAGGTGTCAGTACTGTCATTAATGCTGTTTATTCTGATGACAGCGAATCCTAAGAGCTAGTGGAAAGCAGCATTGGTAGAGATATGTTTTGAAGAGAAAAGAATATAAATGTATAGGAAGTACAGATAGGGGGCTCAGGTTTTCTGTGTCATTCTTTACTAGTCTGAAGTTTACTATCAACCTTAGCATGGCTAGTTATACTGAAGTACATAATAAAATACCTTTAGAAATCCTTAATGGTACTAGTTAGGTCAATGATTTAACAGTTCAACTTAAAATTACTTACCATAATTTCCCAGGTAGGAAACTTACCTTGGAAATATTAAACATACCTATATTTGAATAAGTCAATGGCTTGACTGTAAATTAAGGATTTTCTGAGTGGAATTTAATTATGTATCTATAAAATTTTTTTTAAACCTTAGTAGCTGGATAACAAAGAGCATTTGTCACTCATATTGTTCATGTGATTCTCTGCTGCAGTTTAGCCTGGTGTGCCAGTCCTCTACTTAACTTTGTTATAATGTAAACATAATAGACATAAAATATTTTATTATACGTACTAGATGCTCTATTCATGTGTCATATGGTTAGGCGAGTATTTGGTATTTGGTACTACCATATAACTTTACATATAGTGATGGATGAGACAGCTCTAACTGGGATTTTGTTTCCTAATCATGAAAGTGGCTAAGTTGGGATAAATGTGATCATTTTGACAGTACTGTGAGGATAAATTTAAAAAAAAATATTACTGAAGATAATGTAACATGGGCTTCAATGGTCCTGTTCTCAAAAGACTTAATTACTTGTTTTCTTGAAGTTTAAAGCCTTATTTTTTTTATCTTTTGTGCGATAGTGTTTCTGTGATTTCACTATAGTCATCAAGTGAGGGAAATTCATTAAAAATGCAAATATAGGGCCATACCTTCAATTTTTATGTAGTATTAAGACCTAGGAATGACCATATGAACTAAGTGATTCTGATGTAGGTATAAGGACTCAAAATTTCAACATTATGTTAAATCCCTAACTTGACCAGCAAATACCTAATCACTTGTTTTTGGGACAGCATGAAGACCTGTATGAATCTATGATTCTGCTAAAGAAGAGCAGGACTTATATCTGAGGTCCTCTGAAATTAAATCTCCTATATACTGTCTAACCCATGATTAATTTTCATGAAGATACATATTCAGCACCTGGTGTTTAAATGTTACATGGACTGAAAAACTAATCATATAAAAGTTATAATTGTGATTAAAAAAGGCAAAGTAGGTTTTGATCCCTAATTAAAAATTTATCCAGTGTTAAATAAAACGTTAATGTTTCTAGTATAACTACTTTGAATGCATTAAAACATGATTTCAAATCATAAGATTGATAAGTCTCTAATTGACTGACGAGGGAAAAAGAAAATACTGATTAATAGTATCAGCATTGAAAGAGAGCTAGGAATGAAGGTCATTTGTCTAACATTCAGGAGACCATGTGTCTGATCCCCAAAAAGAAAAGTGCTAACATAGTAAGTCCCAAAAGACATTAAAGGATAATTAGAACAAACATTGTAATTAATTTTTACCACCAAGATGAACACAAATTAGGGTAAAAAACTACCAAAACTCACTGAACAGACTTTCATTTATTAAAAAAAACTTTTCAGAAAAGAAAACCATTGGCTAGATGATTCAATGGTGAATTCTACTAAACCCTTAGGGAAGAATAATACCAATTCTATATAGTCTTTATAAAAGAGAAGAGGAAACACTTCTGAGATCAGTTTATTTGGCCATTAGTACCCTAAGAACAAAACATCAGGAAAAAACATTGTTTTCATTTGCTGATATCCGAAGTTAAAAGATACCCATTCTTTTCACATGAAATTATAGGAACTGGTGTTCTTCCATTTCACTTTAGTTTGTTTCTTTGGAAATACCACCTATAATAAATTCAGTCTCAGCCAGGCGCTGGTGGCTCACGCCTATCATCTAGCTACTCAGGAGGCTGAGATCTAAGGATCATGGTTCAAAGCCAACCCAGGCAGGAAAGTCTGTGAGACTCTTATCTCCAATTAACCACCATAAAACCGGAAGTGGCGCTGTGGCTCAAGTGGTAGAGTGCTAGCCTCGAGCTGAAGAGTGCAGGGGCAGTGCCCAAGCCCAGAGATCAAGCCCCACAACTGACCAAAAAATATATAAATAGATAAGTAAATTTAAGGAAAATTCCTCTACTATTATTCTTTGTCTAGAAAACAGAGTAACTAGGAAGGCATTAGAGTAAATCTTTACATCCTCATTAGGAAGGCTTGATTTGATTAACCAAATTTCAGTGCAGTAGCTGTAACCAAATATGCTGTCCGTTCAAATGACATTTTCATTTATTGTATTAATTTATTGTATTAAACTGTTAATGGAATTTTTATAATATAGTTTACTCAGCTCTTTTATGGCATCATCTATTTTAAAATATCAACAGTATGTTCTAGGTCTTTGTAATTAAATCAAAGTATATAGCATATTCCAAGTGACCATTACATTATTAAAACTTGAAAGAGACAGAGATTCAGTCTTGAGAAAATGATTGGAAAACAAAGTCCCCTATATAGTGGCTATATCATCTTATTTCATCATGTTATCAAACTTAATCATTATGGAGGAATGACAAACTTTAATTATGCATTACTTGCACAGACATTTCATTATTTCTCTAGTTTAAGAAGCAACTTGAGTATAGTTTTTGTTCTGGACCAAATTTGTCATGGCAATAAATTATGCATTTAAGAAAAAGTATTTGCTTACTGTATTCTTACATGTAAGAAATTATATATTGTGGAGTTTTAGCTCATCAAAATAGGATTTTAACTGCATAAACTTTTATTTTCTTAGTAAAATAGTGAAGTATTTTGTTATATACCTGTGGCAAAGCTCTTTACTACAACTTTCTGTTTCATTCATGGAATATGACTACATATATGACTACAAAGAAAATTTTGTATTTTTAGCATATGATTTGAGTTTAAAGTATCAAGATGGGAATCCTTTAAACACATGTTAATAAAACAAGTAGTTCATTTTTCAATGAGAAAAAAAGGATTAGAGAAGTATTAGGCTTCTTAGTTAAAACTTAACTGAGAGTTGGGAAGGTGGCTCAGTGATAGAGTGCTTGTCTCACATGCATGAGGCCCTGGGTTTGGTTCCTCAGCACCACATACACAGAAAAAGCCAGGAGTGGTGCTGTGGCTCAAGTGGTAGAGCATGAGCTGAAGAGCTGAGGGACAGTGCCCAGGCCCAGAGTTCAAGCCCTACAACTGACAAAACCAAAAATTAAAAACTTAAACTGAGTAATCGATTCAACCTAAAAAATAAAAAATTCTGCCTATTGTTCAGAGTTTTACGTTGGATGTATTTGTGTGTATATACACCAACACAGACACATATGCATACAATAATTCTGAAAAGTTATAACAGTTTATTCTATGTTAAGTAATCAGACTACAGGTTTACCCACTGGTTTTAAAGCAAACCATTTCTATTGACTGAGGAGCTAGGAAAAACCTGTAATTAACTATACTAGTTATCTGAATATTTCTAAACATGAGAATTCTGAAGTCTTAAAAAACAACTATCTTTTGAGACTGAGGCCAGCAGGCTGATTTACAGGTAGATCTGACCAATTGCCTGTTAGAAACACTGCTGCTCTTGCCCTTGGATAGAAGAGTATTATTTGTCTGCAAAGCCTAAGCTGTTTTTCATCTTGTCAAAAAAGGCTTTACCAAAAAAGGGCTCGCTAAATTTAGATAACTTGCTAGGGACAAAGGGCCTCAAGTACAGAGTTGTTGAACAACAAAGCCCAATGATCATCGAAAATGAAACTAGGTGTAAAATACAGACATACATGCCTAGAAAACAAATCACAAAACGAGTTCTTTTTCTAAAACAAGTATTTAATATTTTAGCTGTTTTACAGGGAGAAATTTAAATAATATACTTATTTATGTTGTGATGATCATTTCACAAAATTGACAAAAATACAGAAATTAAATGAAAAGTGGAACGTTAGAAATTTTTTAGCTTTCCACTTCAATGGCCGAAGATACCACACAGACTTGGGCAATGTCATCATATTCATATGTTCTCTTTAAAAATGTGTCTGTTAGCCGTAAGCCGGAAACACTCTATTGAAAAAAAGACATGGGCTTTAGTTTTCATTCATTCATCATGACTAATAACTGTAAGCTAGTCCCCATACCGTAGAAATTACTGAAAAGAACATACTTGTAGTCCCTGAACTGAAGACAGCAGAGTAAGGGCAAGGCAGAGAGAAGAACTCGGATGCAGCTTTCCCAGCTGTCTTCCTGAGACACCACACCAGTGAATAGAACTGGTATTGCACATTTCCAAAACCAGATCCATGGTCCTTTCACTGCTAAAGGAATCAGAAAAAGAATAAACCTTGCTCATTTTACAAGGAGGTACTATGTTATTTGTCAACATTTTTGCTTTCTGGTGTAGAATTAAAAAACAGAACCGAAGAGTTATTTTGCCATTATTTTACTTAATATATAACTAGGCACCAGATGCAGTGGGCCCCTATCTACTTGGGAGACTGAGATGAGGAGCATCACAGTTTGAACTCAGCCCAGGCAAAAATTCGTGAGACCCCCCATTAGCAAAGGGCTCATGCCTGACATCCCAGATATAGTGGGAACTATAAATAGTATAATCACATTGAAGACTAGTTTAGGCAAAAAGTGAGACCTTAACTCAAAAGCAACCCAGCAAGGCCAGGTGCCATGGTTCATGTCTGTAATCCTAACATATGCACAGCACCTTTGGGTGCTTGGCTTACTGCCACAATGTGGCAGGCAATACATTTACTAAAAGGGACATGTATCCTTTTTTTTTTTGAATAATTCACAATCTGGTGGGGAAAGGCTAGTAATTATAGCAATATGAGGGTGTTACCAAGAACCTAAATTAAAATTTGCTGAAACGGAAAGATTAAACAAGTAATAAGGCTTGGAAGGGTCTAGATAGAGGAAGAAGGTATTTCTGGATTCTGAAGGATAAATATGCCTTTCCCAATACCAAAAAGCTAAAATAGATATGGTTATAAAAGGATTACAGATTCATACTTAACACATAACAAATAATAAAAGTATTATCAAAAGTGACAGGACTAGAATTTAATTTAGGTTTTTTCCTTTCAAATCTATGTGTTCTTTACTTTCCAGCAGCTAGATTTTTTTTTTTTTTTTCTGTTTTCTATCACAACTCTTTTAGCCTGTACTTCCAGCACTAGGGAGGTGGGGGCAGGAGGATCATGAATTTGATGCCAGCCTAATGGGGTTACATAGTGAGTTCAATGTCAGTTTTGACTCCACAGCAAGATGTCTCAAAAAATAATAAGCTGGGCACGGGTGGCTCATGCTTCTAATCATACTACTTACGAGAATCTAGAGGATTGAGGTTCTAGCCAAGGCAGAAAAGTCCTCACAACTTCATTTCTAATTAAGACACCAAAATGCAGGACTAGAGATGTAGTTTGAGTAGTAAAGAACAAGCCATGAATGAAAAGGCCAAGTGAGAGCTTGGGGTCCTGAGCTCAAGCCCTGGTATTGGCACAAAAATAAGCTAGTAACAATAACAACGAAACAAAAACCTGGTTTTCCAACCTATGATTCCTTATATTAAGTTCAAAATAAAATTGGGCTTTTTTAGTATTAAAGATATAGCTTATGAAGAGCTGAGGGACAGCACCCAGGCCCAGAGTTCAGGCCCCACGACCGGACCCCCCCCCAAAAAAAAACAAAAACAAACAAAAAACAAACAAAAATTAGAAAATAAAAAAGATACAGCTTAATTCCAAGGCTGCCTCAGAGAAATCCATTTTGCTACTCAAAGTGTATTTGATTCCATCAGAACCTGTTTGTAAATGACCTCCAGGAAATGGAAACGAGGATTTTTCTTTGAAGAAAATAAAAAAGAACCCATTAGTAATTTCAGGGTGAAGGAAGTATAAACCATGAAAAGAATAGGGTTTTTGAAGTCAACTATAGCTTGTTTTAAATTGTGTCTCCACCTTTTCTAACTGAGCTTGGGAAAGTCTCTTAACTCTCTGAGGTGGAGTTCTCTTCCATAGAATGTGAATAATTGACATCTACATGGGTTCTGCTACATGAATGAAATAAAAATACAGGATATACCTAATACAGTAAGATCTCAAAATATGTAATACACTGCTGACATCAAAGAATTCTATACATCAAGTAACAAGTTGATAGAAAACTGGATATTAAAGAAACTTTAAGCTTTTTTTAGGCTGGTGAAGAGGAAAGGGCAGTCATCCAGAAACACTGGCATTACCTGCAGTTTGTTATTTTACAGGTAATATGGAAAGGTTCTTCCAAGTTAACAGTATCTGGGATTGCTTCCAAAGACAGCCTGACATCTCCATAACCTGGAGCCTACAAGAAAAAACAAGCAAAACTGTTAAAATATGTTACAAAACTTTTGTACTCAAATGAAGGTACATCAGCACATTTATTCAACAGACCATGGTCTCCAAACTGATGATCCAAAAAAATAATTCTGATTCATTTACCGTGTCTTCACTTTTGCTGCTACCATCAGAAGAACAGCCTGCAGCCTGTTAGGATTTACTCCAGGGTCAGCAGAGTTAGGATGAAACTTACTTATAAGACTTATGGGACTTGATCTTGAAGGGCTCTTTTCTAGAGATACTACAGTTTCTATAGACATAACTTTTTTTTTTTTTGTCAGTCATGGGGCTTGAACTCTGGGTCTGGGCACTGTCCCTCAGCTCTTCAGCTCAAGGCTAGCACTCTACCACTTGAGCCACAGCGTCATGTCCGGCTTTTTCGGTGTATGTGGTGCTGAGGAATCGAACCCAGGACCTCATGCATGCAAGGCAAGCAGTCTACCCTAAGCCACCTTCCCAGCCCATAGACATAACTCAAGCAAGGTTACTGCCTAATGAGACTGGGCTCCTGGTTGAAACTATCTAGGAAGAAAATGATGACTTATATCAAGACAAACAGGCAAGAATGGACTTTGGAAACATCAGGCTTAGGATGACATGGTAGGGTAAGAACCAATTGCAGCTTGAACTCAGGGCCTGGGCACTGTCCCTGAGATTTTTTGCTTAAGGCTGATATTCAGTGGAGCCATAGCTCCACTTCTGGCTTTTGTTGCTAGTCAACTGGAGATAAGTGTCTCACAGATATTTTTGCCCAGATTGGCTTTGAACTATCATTCTCAGATATCAGCCTTCTGAGTAGCTAGGACTACGAGTTACTGGCACCAAGCTCAATTGCTGAATTTTAAAGTAGGATGTGATTTTCTTTGTACATTACTGTCTCAAAAAAATAAATTTTAGAAAATACCAGAGAACAAGCAATATTTAGCATAAAAGGAAGATCCTATAGTGAACTCTCACTAGCACAAGACAAAAGCTGGTAGCCATTTCTACTATCAGAGCACAAGTCAGGCAAAATATCCACTGGTTTCATATATCCACTTCCTTAGATATTTTACAACTTTTATTTTTTGTGGGGGGGTTGGTCATGGGGCTTGAACTCTGGGCTTGGGTGCTGTCCCACAGCTCTTCAGTTCAAGGCAAGCATTGTACCACTTGAGCCACAGCACCACTTCCAGTTTTCTTGTGGTTTACTGGAGATAAGAATCTTACACTTTCCTACCCAGGCTGGCTATGAACCACAATCCTCAGATCTGAGCTAGGATTATAGGCATGAGCCACCGGTACCCAGCTTAATCTCTTTTTAAAAAGGTATAAACAGAAGTAAGGTAAATAATAAGCATGAATTACTGAGGAAGGAAAAATTGATAAGCAAAGTTGGGTGCCAGCAAGAAAGTCTGTGAGACTCTTATCTCCAATAAGCTACTCAGAAAAAGCTGGGAGTGGCACTGTGGTTTAAATGGTAGTGCACTCTCCTTGAGCACAAAGAGAGGCTCAGGAATAGCATTCAAGCCCCAAGGTTCAAGCCCCAGAACTAGCAAAAACAAAGAAATAAATAATAAAAAGAAAAAAGAAACAAAAATTGAGTTATTTTAATTTTTGAAACAAAAATACACACATTAAGGATTAGTTAGCATTTTTCATTCTTAATACCAGTTTCCTACTGAGAGATCAATGGAATTTCTTCTCCAGTAATACTTTTATGGTATTCTTCTTTTTAGCAATAAACCTAGGAAAAGTTGTTCTAACTAATTGCTCCTCCATCCCTCCATCCCCACCAAAACTTCTGCTGAAGTTTTTCCAGACTCACCATTCGTTGCAGCTGGCTGGTCTGTAACCTTCCCCTTTCACCCAGATTTGTTTTCCATACTATATCCAGTTTTCCAATTACTGTTACTCCCTTAATGATGCCTGCTTTTTCTGCAAATTCCTTCTTGGGTTTTAGACAGTATAAGTACTGGCGTGTATCCATTGGTTGCAAATATGCTCTTGACCCAAATGTAGATACACTGAGAGATAAAGAAAGGTACACAGATGAAGACAATCCTTAATCATCTTTTAAAAGAAAAGTCATGCCGGGTGCTGGTGGCTCACACCTGTAATCCTATCTACTCAGGAGGCTGAGATTTGAGGATCACAGTTCAAAGCCAGACCAGGCAGGAAAGTCTGTGAGACTCTTATCTCCAATTAACCACCATAAAACCAGAAGTGGCGCTGTGGCTCAGGCGGTAGAGTGCTTGCCTTGAGCTGAAAAGGGCAGGGACAGTGCCCAAGCCTAGAGTTCAAGCCCAATGACCAACCCCCAAAAAGAGAAAAGTCATGCTGTGATTGCTTTTTTTAAATAGGACCTGGATGATTTGCCACCCACAGATCTAGAAGAGGATAAAAGTTTTTATAAAAGGAAAACAAATTGTACTGGCAGAGTTACTCGTTGTGTGTGTGTGTGTGTGTGTGTGTGTGTGTGTGTGTGTGTGTGTGAGAGAGAGAGAGAGAGAGAGAGAGAGAGAGAGAGAGAGAGAGAGAGAGTATGTGTGTGTCCTGGGGCTTGAGCATAGGGCCTAGATGATGTCCCTGAGCTTTCTGTGCTCACCTGGCACTCTATCACTTGAGCCACAGCTCCACTTCTGGCTTTTTGGTGTTTAACTGAAGATAAGAATCTTCCCAGGCTTGGAACCTTGATCCTCACATCTCAGCTTTCTGAGGAGCTAGGATTACAGGCCCATTCTCACCCAGCTATAGGAGAGAGAGAGGGAGGGGGGGGGAAGAGAAGGGGGATGGGGAGAGGGAGAGGGAGAGAGAGAGAGAGAGAGAGAGAGAGAGAGAGAGAGAGGGAGAGGGGAAGAGAGGGAGAGTGGGGGAGGGAGAGGGGGAGGGGGAGGGGGGGGAAGAGAGGAGAGGAGAGAAGAGGAGAGGAGAGAGGAGAGAACAAGTCCTGGGGCTTGAACTCTCAGGGCCTAGGCACTGTCCCTGAGTTCTACCACTTTATCACTGACTTTTCTGCCTAGGTTGGCTTTGAACTACAATCTCAGTCTCGAGTAGCTAGGATTACAGTCGTTCCAGCGCTCAGCTGGCATTTACTTTTAGTTGATTTCAATTGACATATACCTTAAAGTTCTTTTCTTTTTCTTTGGGGTGGGTGGGAACTTGGGGCCTCACGTTTGCTATACAGGCACTCTACCACTTGTGCCACACCCCTGGATTTTTGCTGGTTATTTTGGAGATGGAGCTCTGGGAAACATTTTTGTCCAAGCTTGTTTCAAATTGCAATCAATGCTCTGTATCTCTGCCTCCTGAGCAGGTAGGGTTAGAGGTGTGAGCCACCGGTACCTAGTTTTCGCATTACCTATTTCTGGGAACCTAAATCTTTTCTTTAAAGCAAAAAACAATCTATTATATTTTTAAAAATACAAAAAAAAATTTTTTAAACCCTCCCAAAACATAAAAATAAGTGTATGTTAGAAAAGCATGTATCTTTCAAAGCAAAAACCAACATTCCATAATTAATAGTTACCATTCTCCAGCTTGGCTGACTGAATTTAATTCTGTTACATTATACATTATAGATGGCTCCAATGAAACTTTCTCCATAAACATGGGTGAGGTGGTAATATTTTGAATCTGGGCTTCAAGAAAAACTTCATCAGTCTGAGAATATGAAAAAAAATCCACCAATATGATAGTATTTAAAATGTTCACCTCAATTAGAATCACTTATCTATATGAAGAAAAAATATTAACCACAAATGTGATTAGTTCATGCCTGCAAATCAAAGTTATCATAATTAATACGAAGAAAAAATCTTCATCCTAACATAATTAACAGGGGCAAAGTCAAGTGTTAGTCAACTGATACCCTGCCAAACAATGGATGTGGGATAATCAGAATATATTTTGTATTAACATCCAAAAGTACTTATTTATCTGGAATTTCATTCACAAGAGTTTCACGTCTGTTAGTAAGGTGTTAAAATAAACTTTAGTATGATGAGTATACTTACTTAGCTACAACTTCACTGTTATGATAAGATGTTCAGATCTTCAAAATACTCCAGCACAGTATACTTTCAACTGTCCTGCTTTTATTTCAATTTAGATAGTTTACTATTAGCCCTATGAGTAATCTATTTTATACCTTTACAGGATTTAACCTTTTTAAATCAAAGCCGTTTGCAAGTATTTTTAATGAATTCTTAGTTCATTTGAAATGTATATTGAGGGCTAAAAAAAGGATATATGAATTATACCTGACATTTTAAATCAGGCAAAGTATTTTCTAGCCTTAGTGACAGATTTCAAAACTGATGCCATTCATTAATATATGAGATAATTTAAACCCTTAATTTTATTAAAAAACAACAACAAACTTAATTCTCCAGTTACATATGATAAACATTCTTATTTTTATGCCATTCTTATTATTATTATTATTTTTTATGTAACTGAAAAAATGATATACCAAAGATTTCAATAATTGATCTCAAAAGTTTATATAGTATGCTTAAACATAATATATATGTATATATATGTGCTCAGAAATAATATAAAATATTGGGGAATCATGAGCTTTTTTTTAAACACTGAAGTCCAGAAAATGGAAATCATTTGCACAGATATCATAGTGAAGTTATAATTCAATGAGTCTAATATAAAACAGATTCATCTTTGGGACATCAAATGAAAACAGAAATATGATGATTTATCAAAATACTACCATTAAAGGGCAGTATTCTGTTACTTTTTCTCAAGAAAATAAGTAAATATATCCCATAAATCCATTGCTTTTAAAAAACAACCATAGAACCACATTTCAATTTTAAAAATGCAATTTTCTGCATGAAATTTTTGATAACATGAAAGGAAAACAAGCAGCATAATGGAAAATCAAGTTAGTCTGAACAGTTAGTATAAAGTAATTTGACATTTGAAAAATTAAGGCAAGAATTTAGTGCTAAGGCTGATGTTATTACAAATGTAATGTATAGAAGCAAATGCTGTTTATTGTGAGTAGATATATGATTTCAGCCAACTTGGGAAGATTTGCTTTTTTTCTGTTTACTTTTGTCAAAAGGCCATTTTTATCTGACTTACACTTCAAAATAAAAACAATGCACATGAGAATAAATTTCAGGATAATAGGATATTTGACAGCAAGATGATGAAAATGCCAAGGTTAAAATACACAAGGTAAACATGTCTCTTAAAAAAAAAAGAAGAAAGAAACTATAACTGTTTCAATGTGGCAATTTAACCTTTGGCCTCATTTTTTCCTATAGAACAAGACAGATATAATATTAAAAGTACAATTAAATTATATATGTCTTTCTGAAGTCAGAGAACTAGTATTCAACACTAACTGTTTTTCCACTATGTTTCGTAGAGAGATTAATTAGGCAGAGTCAAAAAGTGGTAAGTAACAAAAGCATATAAATTTATAATAAAAAATCAAATTACCACAGAACTGAGGTCACTCTAATGGAAAAATAAAAAAGAAAAATTAGAAAAATCAGAGTTAAATGTTAAAGAAAAAGAATAACTTTGAAATGAATATCTGTATTTTTAAACTTACAAGACAGCATTAGTAAACAAGAAAGTAAATAGGAAGCAACATAAATATGACAAACTATTTCTCTAAAAAGGTGAAACTACTAAGGATTAAATGACAACAGCACAGAGAAGAACATTATGGCTGAATACTTAAACAAAAGCAAATAGTTAAGGGTTCATCTTAGGGAAGAGACATTTGTCTCATGCCTTTCTGGTTTTATAAATCCCATTCTCTATAGATTATTAAGGACGGATATACATTATCGTCAACATTCAGAATAGATAATACACTTAAGTGCTTCTCCTTCATTGATCTAACCATAGAATACTTTTGGAATGGAGGATCTTGGTTAAGACTTCCATAGAACACATTTTAGGAAATGCCCGACTAGACCCTTGTATCAATAAATTGAGATTATTATTTTCTGTTAATGAATAGTTATTTTTATTCCTATACATATTTGTGCTACTTAGTTACTAAGGAGAATGTCAAATGTCATCTCCTTCATCAAAGGCATAATTGAAAATCATTTTTCATCTCTGTTCCCAAAATTTAATTATACTTCATGACTTAGGGTATATATGAGAGATGCTTATATTGCAATTGGCTCATGTTAGTTTCCTCCACTAGAATTAACTTCCCAGAGGGCTAGTACTGCTATGGAAATCTGTACCAGGCAGGTGACCAAATGTTTGAATCCTACCTTCTGATTCACCAATCTTCTTACATGGTTTGCCTTAGAAACTGTGACAAAATTTTTCATGAAACTTGTTTTCCTTCAGGGATTCATACAGTATTAAGAACATCATGAAAAGTGTGTTTGGGGCAAATAGCATCACTGCACAGGACTACAGTGCAGAGAAGTAAGAATCAGCTACTGATAATGGTGTGGTTTACTAACTCCTACAACCTAACTGCAATATAGAATATATCCCATGCTACTGAACAGTGTTTGTTTGCCTAACAGGTGATATCATAAATCTTAGAGACCTTTCATGCTATTTGTTCTAACTAGGTAATTTAGAAAGATGTGTTTTTCAAACATTCATAATTTTGGACTGGAATATGGCTTAAGTGGTAGAGCATTGCCTACAAGTGTAAGACCTTGAGTTCAATCCCTAGTTCACACACACAAAAGTTCAAAATTTTACTACACATATTTTAGGTGCAGTTTGTTAGCAAAATTTAAATATTATATTTTATATATAAGGTTAACTGAAAATAGAAGTAAACAAAAGTGTCACTATGATTACCAAAACAGATTATACAAATTCATAGAAACTGAAGGAATGTAGATGAAAAGAATCCATTACTTGAAATGATGGAAATGTGGATTTTTTTCCCTAATAGGGATTATGCTACTTGTGTAGTACATATGGAATAACTATTTGCAAATCACTCCAAATAAAACTACTCAACAAATACCTTAATGTAATCCTACATTTTTTTTGTGTGTGTGTGTCAGTGCCTGGGCGCTGTCCCTGAGCTTTTGTGCTTAAGGCCAGCATTCTACTACTTGAGCACAGCTCCAAATTCGGCTTTTTTTGGTGCTTAATTGTAGATGAGTCTCATGGACTTTTCCTGGGCTGGCTTAGAACCATGATCTTCAAGATCTCAGCTTCCTGAGAAGCTAGGATTATAGGAGTAAGCCACCAACATCTAGCCATACTCCCATGTTTTTAACATGGCTCCCTCTGGAAGCCAAGTATTATGAATGAAACCTTTCCCAGAAGTAACAGACTATTTAAATCTACTAAACTGAACAGCTATATTGTAATTAATAAATATAATTATTTTGTTGTTATTAACAACAAAAAAATAGAGTATATAGTATCACAACTTAACCCCCAAATGGAAACTCTTTAAGCATTTAGCAATGTAGATGAGGCTGTACCCTCATATGTATGTATATTCTTCACTATGGACTTAATAGTCTATATACTTTTTTTTTTTTGTCGATCATGGGGTTTGAACTCTGGGCCTGAGTGCTGTCCTTCAGCTCTTCAGCTCAAGGCTAGTGCTCTACCACTTAATAAGCTACAGCGCCACTTCCGGTTTTCTGGTGGTTTATTGGAGATAAGAGTTTCACGGACTTTCCTGCCCAGGCTGGCTTTGAACCCCAATCCTCAGATCTCAGCCTCCTGAGTAGCTAGGATTATAGGCGTGAGCCACCGGCGCCCAGCTACATATTTATATTGGTAACTTGACTTGGAATATGTTTATCTCTTCCCAACATCTTTTCCTTCCAGACTCTACTCCAGTTCCCCTTCTCTTCCATAAAGCTTTTAGAGTATACATGTTCTCATCCCAAAATCTTGTAGCACATGTTGTTATATCATTTAGATTTGGTATTTACTCTCTTAGACAGTTTTTGTTACCTATATTTTCCTTTGATTCCAATACATCCTCGCTACTGATCAAGTTCCTTAACACTAACAGCTAAGTAATTCAAGTGGGAATACAAACTTTATATTGAATGCTGATGGTAAAAATATTTGGAAAAATACACATAAATTAGTATGATTATAAATTGTGATCATCTGGGTATAGAGTAATTTATCACTGTGATAGAAAAAATAATTCTGAGGAATAAAAGGGCTGTGAAGAGATCTGTCTTTTTAAATGTAAGGTTATTTATTTATTTATTTTTGAGACAGGATCTTGCTATAGCCCATAGCCTCATGAGTGCTAAAGGGAAAAAATCATTTTATCTCTTTTATTAGATTAGAAGCTAGGCTATCTCCTATTCTTTAAGTTACATTTTTCTCTATTTTTGTCAAACAATTTTCCCAAGGAACTTTCAAGCCATTTGTCAGACATAGAAACGTTAACTCCTAATTCTGGCTGGTACAAGACTTTTCTGGAAAAGCCTTAATACACTGAGTTTTACCTGTCACTCTTTTTTTTATATGAATATGAACTACAGATCTTACTAGTTCAATTTTTATAATATCCAGTCTGTTGAATATTTATATTTTTAAGCAATAACACCCTCATCAAATGGAATTATAAGGCTATCATTTAGTAAGAAAGGTGAAGGCCTTACAAAAGTAGTAGGGAGAATAGAAATCAAGACACACTGATTATGTGTAGGTTGAAAATAACAGATTAAAAAAGACCTACAATGAAATCATTCATTTTTAATTAAAATTCATTTTTGGTAATTCAGTCATATCAGCAATTACTTCAATTTTATAAGAAATGTTAATACCTCAGGTTTGCAGTTTAATGCAAAGTCCTGGTAAATACCTAATACTTACCTCTGCATTGTAAAATTTGGTTTTCACATCCAATGGCTTCAGAACCTGGTTAAACAAAGTATATTAATTAGGACATTCTTGTCATTGGATTATTTTATTAAGTTTAAAGAACATGGATTAAATTTGTCAAGGTCATTGTCTAATTTTAATTGTTAAAAGACTTTTAATAGATATCCAATATTCTTGCAAAAAATTTCGCACTAAACATTTCTTTAGAAATATAGTACTATTTACACTCAGCTGGAATTTGCCCTCATTTTATCCCTTTTCCAGATTTTGGTGTATTTTCCAAATAATGAGACAAATACTCTTAAAAAAAAAAGATTAGCCGGGAGCCTATGGCTCACACCTGTAATCCTAGCTACTCTGGAAGATGAGATTGGAGGATCAAAGCCAGCCAGAACAGAAAAGTTCCCATGAGACTCTTATCTCCAGTTAACCACTCAAACACTGGAAGTGGAGCTGTGGCTCAAGGTGGTAGAGTGCTAGCCTTAAGCAAAAACTCAGGGACAGTGCCCTGGCCCTGAGTTCAAGCCACACAACTGACCAAAAAAAAAAAAAAATACTGTTTTGAGTAGTTGTACAAAGGCATTTCAATTCAACCTGTCAACTTACAAGTACAATACAACTTGATCTATATCACTCCTTCCATCATTCAGGTCTTATTTTTAAATAAAAAATCTTTCTTTACAAAAACATTACACTGGCAATGATAATTTCTCTGCTCTTCTTTTAGTCTGACTTTTGCCTGCTAGTAATAGAACAAGTAGTGAGTTATTTGATCGATATGGAGTTTGTTTTCTGAGCAGATCAACAGAAACAACTACATATCCAGGAAAACAGAAGGTATCAAAAAATTATCATTGTCATATCCAATACCTGAAATTTGAAGAATTTTCTAAAGTACATTTTTTCTCCACCCTGAGTTGTATAACTCACGGCACACACCAAGCTGAAATAGAAAGATACCTTAGTGACTGGGAAATATTTTTGCTTTCATTTCTTTTTTTTTCTGGTTTTATAGTGGTTTATTGGAGATAAGAGGCTCACAGACTTTGCTTCCCAGGCTGGCTTTGAACCGAGATCCTCAGATCTCAGCCTCCTGAGTAGCTAGGAATTACAGGCATGAGCCACCGGCACCCGGCTTCTCATTTTCATTTCTTAAGAGTAAATCTAAAACACTTCAGATCTACTTAAAAATATCAATAATACGCAACTGTAGCCAAATGATTCAATATTTGAGTATAAACAGATTTGAATATAGATTTGAATATAAACATGAAAAAAAGCTATCTTAAGCTGGGTACCAGTGGCTAGCTACTCAGGATGCTGAGATCCGAGATCATGGTTTGAAGCCAGCCCAAGGACAAAAGTCCTCATGAGACTCTTATCTCAAAGAAACCAGAAATGGCACTGTGGCTCAAGTGGTAGAGCATTAGTCTTGAACAAAAAGAGGCTCAGGAACAGTGCTTGAGCCCTGAGTTCAAGCACCAAAACCAGCAAAAATTAAAAAAAAATAAAATAAAAGAGTATGCTTTTTCCCTTCAAAGGTAAACTACATTCCAAAATAAATCTTGAAATAGCCATATAATTGAATGTAGAAAAGTGAGTTCATGTTAACTAGAACATACAAGGATTTTAGAAGAATGGTCGTTTCAACATAAATGTAATGGAAAAAATGAACATTTAAATAGAATGAATTTTAAAAAATTAAAGTAACTAAAAATAGATTACAAATTGGGATAAAATAATATTGAGGATTAAATAATAATGAATTAGACTTTTCCCTACAAAATAAGTGTTTTCATTAAAGTTTGTGTCTGTTAAACATGTAAATATGTAACAGTAAATTCCTTCTGAACTAAATTAATTGGCATAATACATAGCAAAAATTTTAAAGAGTTTTTTAAAAGTTTTTGAGAGGTAGTAAAATTAATGCTTACATGTGTGTTCCAATTTCTTTTACTTCATGGTGAATAACATCATCAATACAACAATCGGGTTTAAGTTCAGCCACTGCAGCATTAGAGGCTGAAAGATTTAAACGCTGAGAGCTTGTCTGAAGATCAGCCTTGAAAGAAAGGTAAAAAAAAGTAAGCCGTATATGACTATTCTCTACAACATGAATACGGTACTGGTAAAAAGAACAGGAGACATAGTTGGACTATTTGGGCAGCTGGGCAGGAAAAATAAGAAGAATGCTATATGCACATATGAAAATGTTATATAAGACCTATTGTTTTCTACAACTAATATATACAAGAAATAAAAGATGAAAGGAGAACAATACTTCTCTGTGTAAACCTTTCTGTGCTTAGAACCTTGGCAAGGATACACACATATATACACCAATCCCCAAAATAAATAAAACATGCTGGGCAAGATGCTTCACTTTTGTAATTCCAGCTACCTAGGAGGCAAAAATAAGAACACCATTCAAAGCTAACTCAAGCAAAAAAAGCCAGCCCTGTGGTACATGTCTCTACTCCTAGCCACATGGGAAGTATTGATAGAAACATGATCTAAGGCTGCCGTGGGTAAAAAGTGCTAGATACTTTTCAGAAAAATAAGCAATAAAGGCTGGAGGTGTGCCTCAAATGGTATAACCATTGCCTATTAAAGCAGAAGTCCCAAGGCTAATCCCAGTGCTACCAAAAAGAGAGACAGAGGAGGGAGAGGGAACAAGAAGAGGAACAACCACCACCACCACAGAAGAGGGATCTTTTTTTTTTTATTGTGAAGATACCGTACAGAGGGGTTACAATTACATGGGCAAGATATCAAGTACAATTCTTATCAAGCATTGTTGCCTCCTCTTTGTTTCCCCTTCCCATCCCTTCCCATTACTCCCCCAGAAGGGGGATCTTGATTATAGTCTAAATCTGCACACAAAAATAATGATACAAAATGTTGTACTTAGCTAGTATGTTTATTTTCACAAGGATATAGATTAACAATTCTGAGACTGTTTTATGTGTAGTAACTCCCTAGTACTTTACTGCTTAAAGATGATAAAAATATAATTTTTTTAAAAAGAAAAAGAAAACCTGTATGCCAGTGGCATCTATAATTTAGAAGGCTGCCTCCCGGGTAGGAAAGTCAGTGAGATTCTCATCTCCAATTAAGCACTTTCAAAAACAGAAGTAGTGCTGGGGCTCAAAATGGTAGAGCACTAGCCTTACGCAAAAGAGCTCAGGGACGCCAGTCAGGCCCTCAGTTCAAGCCCCATGATCTACCAAAAAAAAAAGAGAGAAAAGCTACAACTAAACCTTTCCTGTCATATTAGAAACTAAGTATCAGTATGCACATGTGGCTTTTTAAACTTATATACAGATGTTTTTTGAAAAAAATATAGGTAGATATTCGTATGTACATACATGACACTAAAAGATCAGCAATTATTTAGAAATATCATCACATGTTAGAGACCAGTTCACTGACAGAACTAGAGAATGACATTACAGGCATTAAGATAATAGTACCTTCTCTAAAATGACACTGCCCCCCACTCTCTATTATATTCATCCTTTTTATAACCCTCTGAACATACATTACTCTGTCATGAATAGTGGCCTCCCTTAATGTCAGTTACTGTCTATAGCATTCACCTTTTACTTCCTTGGAAACATCTATTACAATCTATAATTTCCTCATTTATGATTTCTTTACCTGCTTTTATCTGTCTCCCCTATCAGAAATATCTATGGATACAGAAACTGTGGGTCTCGGGGCTGGGAAGGTGGCTCAGTGGTAGAGCGCTTGCCTTGCATGCATGAGGCCCTGGGTTCGATTCCTCAGCACCTGGGTTCAATTCCTCAGCACCACATAAGCAAAAAGAAAAAAGCTGGAAGTGGCGCTGTGGCTCAAGTGGTAGAGCACTAGCCTTGAGCTGAAGAGCTGAGGGTCAGCGACCAGGCCCAGAGTTCAGGCCCCACGACCGGGCCCCCCCCCTCCCCCCCCAAAAAAAGAAAGAAACTGTGGATCTCAGTCTAGCTAGGATTACAGGCTTGAGCCACTGGAACCTAGTTTACATGACAGTGTGAAAGTGGGTAGTGTATTGGCTTCATTTTATAGAATAATGAATAAAAGGCATAGAAAACAAAAATTCCAAAGCCACATAAGAAGTTGTATAAGCTGATGTTTAAAATGAATTATTTATTTTGAAAGTAAGAGGAAAAAAGTATTTAAACTCAATTGATTTCTATCTAACAAATTCTCTTGTAACTGTTAACTTTCCTCTTAACTACAATGTGTATTATGTATTATGTGTCTTTTTCCTTTAGGCTATTATAAGTTATATTGTATGAAGCATTTATTCCCTAATTACCTATTCTATATGCCAGGATCTGTTGTACAAGTGGGAGATAATAGGAGAATAAAGTGTACTGTTGTGATCCTTGCCTGTCCCTGTGGAATTTATAGTCTCTGGAGAGGAGGGAAGGAAGACAAGTAACAATATACAAATAAGTACCTTATTAAAAGCTAGTAAATGTCTTCAGAGGAAAACAGACAAGTAAACAGGTTTTGGGAGGAGGAAAATGAAACTTCAATTGCAGGGAAGACTTTCAGCTATATATTAGTATTGGGGAGAGAACTAATCAGCAGAAACAGGAAAGCAAAACTAATAAAATGTGGTAAAAACTAAAGATATCTTTAAAGCTATCATGCTCTTAGTATAGTTAGGTAGTTCATGTCAAAGAGTAGAGAAAAAATATATCTAGAATTGTGCCTGGTACTGGTGAATATTTTGTCATCCAAGCTACCATGTTTTGAAGATAAGGAAAAATGTTTCCCTTATTATAATATTTTGTACCTTTAGGAATGCTTGTTAATCGGAATTAAGAATTCTAGTATCAAGCCAAGTGGTTCACAACTGTAATACAGCTACTCAGGATTCTGATATTTTAGGATTGTTGTTTGAAGCCAGCCTCATCTACCAGTCTGTGAGACTCTTATCACCAATTAATCTCAGAAAAAGAGCACTAGCCTTGAGCAAAAGAAGCTCAGGGACAGAACCCAGGTCCATGGTTAAAGCCCCAGGATCAGAAAGGGAAAAAAATTCCAGTATAAAGCATGAATTTCAATGAAGCTTCAAAAATAACAATACATTTTAGAACATGTTTCTTTTTTAAAATAATATTTTTCAAACAAGAATGTCACTTACTTTTACCAATATATCTTTGACAACTTGATTGCTATCATTATGAACACTGATGTAACTGGAAAAGGTTTCTCCCAAAAATATATTCCTACAAAATAAAATAAAATCTTAAGCAGAAATTCATTCAGGTTTTATCAGAAATATTCTGTTTGAGTACTACTAAGAATGTCAAATGGAAAAAAATTTATTAAAGTCTAGAGACAGGGAAAGGAAAGAATACTTTAATATTCCTTCATTTATATTGTTCACTTATTATTCAGAGCATTTCTAAATAAAACCACCCAATATATACCTTGGCTCTCAACTGCTGCACAAATTGCCAGCATCCCTAGAAATAATATTCACTACAATCAGAGCCATGTTGAGTCTTCAGATTTGTATCTGAATAGCTAGAAAATGTCAACTTTCTTTTTTGAAATAATTTATCCTCTGAATCTAGAAAACCGAAGTTAATGCATCTTGGAGTATTTTTACCAATTTATTTTTCTAATTTTTTCTAATAAAATGTTTAGTGACTTTATTTAGTCTTATATATTTTACATGAATGTATTTTCAAGGTTTTAAGATACTAACTAGTCAATTACTGCAATCTGTAAACATTAAAAAATTCAAAAAGTTACTTTTAGTTATAAATGTTCTCAGTTTGCACAAAAAGAATGGAACCAGGGTTTCTATCTCATTAATGAGTTAGAAGAAAACAAATGCTAAAAACAAAAGAAGAAATTTAAAAAATCAGAGTTTTTAATTAGCTGTCAAGTCTGATTTCTGTTGGGAGAGGACTGTGAGGCCAAATAAAAAATTTACTAATAAAAAAAGACATTTAGAACAACTTAATTCAAATAAAAGAATCATGGTTGTTTTGTGTGTGTGTGTGTGTGTGTGTGTGTGTGTGTGTGTTGAGAGGGAAAGAGGGAACAGTTTACACTAAGCAAAAGGAAAGAAATGTACATATCACCCACTGTGGAAAAAATAGTTGTATTGTCAAAGCTCATAGAAATCACTAACATTATAGACCATGATAATGACAGTTTGCCTTGTGATGGTTAAAAAGTGTTTGTGACTTTAAGTATCACTATCTCACAATACTGTGCAATTTCTGAAATTTATGTAATCAATCTCAATAAAAAATTAATTTAAAAGAAAAAAAAGATCTAGGGGTTATGGATATAGTGCTATGGCTAGAATGCTTAAGGCCCTGGGTTCTAGCCTCAGCAGAAGAAAAGTTACAACACTATTATTCAACAAACCAGTGTTATTTTATTTGTTGTATGTCACTTGTATAAATAAACAAAACTAGAATCACCTGATTCTTATTTATTTTACCACTTAAATGCATTATGACCATTTTTCCATTCTTTACTAGTTTTTTTGAAAGCATGAATTTATAATAGCTTTATGTGAAATGAATCATTCTTACCCAAAATTTTGAGGTAAAGTCAACATTTCTCCTAACATTAAAGTTTCTGCACCATTTACAGTTGAAGGATCATCTCTCATCAGTTGGTTAAAGAGATCTCCTGTAGCAAGGGAAAAACATAAAATTCTAACATTTAACTTCCTAATAAAGTTTACTCACTTATAGTTAGGGGTGGTGTGTAGGGGCTTGAATTCAGAGCCTAGGCACTGTCCCTGAATTTTTTTGCTCTAGACTAGAGCTCTATCACTTCAGCCACAACTCCAATTTCATCTTTTGGGTGGTTAGTTGTAGTAAGGGTCTCACAGACTTTCTTGCCACGGTTGGCTTCAAACCACAATCTTCAGATCTTAGCCTCTTGAGTAGGTAGGATTGCAGGTGTAAGCCACCAACGCCCAGCAAATCTAATTTTTAATCTTTCTAAATCAACATAAAGGTTTTACTTGCAAGGTACAGCATTGCAATTAAATACACATACACAATGTGTAATGCCATTTCTTATCTTTGATTTTTTTAAAAAGCATGCAAAAAGAGTTCTGGCCAGACAAAGTGTCACATGCCTGTAATCCCAGTACTCAGAAGGCCAAGGCAGAAAGACTAAGAGTTCAAAGTTGCCTGGGGTAAATGGTGAGATTCGAAAGAAAGAAAGAAAGAAAAAAAGAAAGAAAGGAAGAAAGAAAGAAAGAAGGAAGGAAGGAAGGAAGGACAAGAGAGAGAGAGAGAGAGAGAGAGAGGGAGGGAGGGAGGGAAGGAAGGAAGGGAAAGAAGGAAGGGAGGGAGGGAGAGAGGGAGAGAGGAAAGAAAGAGAAAAACCACCACCAACAAACTGATCTTAGAAAGAAAAAACATTTCAGAAACAAAAGAAAATGCAGGTCATCTAATGTACCATAAAGATGAAAATAATTTTATATGAAAAGAGTACTAATATATACACTGATGGATCATTTGATGACAACTAAAAACTTCTTGTTAACATGGATTTCAACATTATCCTGACATTAGATTATAAATGAGGGCTATAACTCAGATGGCCATCCCAAGTAGAAATACCAGCAACAAGGAATTCCGAAGTCTGCCCAAGACTGGCAAGCCTGAGCTTATTCCACAATAATGTAGCCAACTCACATTTCAACTTTTCCCTGGGTGCTAACAGAGTAAGCACAACACCCCCATACATACCAGGCAAGTCTTTCTCTTCACATGTAACTGGAATGTTGGTGAATAAAGTAGGCTTAGTCAACCGCATCACTGAAAATTAAGAAAGTAAGCAAATTATTAATATTTCTTTATGTTTAATCATCTCAAGCCTAGTGTTTGGTATTCATCAACTATATTAATCATCATCATACTAATATGAAATGCAACTTAAATGTATTTCCTGAGAATATCTTAATAATTAATACACAATATATAATAACAAGGATTAATGATTCGTTAATATATAATAAAAATCTTTGAGAAAAAATTGCTTTAATTTGCAATTTCTACATTATACAAATTACATCAAACAAAATAGACACTAAAAACAAAATTGGAAAAAAGTTTTAAATTTTAAGGTATGTTGGTTAGTCACCAGTTAATAAATGTGCTCTTACGTAACATAAACTATAAAAATCAGGAAAATGTCAGCTAATCTGTAGGTTTATATAGTTTCAACCACAAATTAGGCTTTTAGATTATGACAGAAAGTATCCGAAGTTTATCTGGAAGAACAAATGAAGAAAATAAGCCAAGAAATTAATAGGAAAAGACATATAAAATATATTTCAGTCCATAAGCGACAAACTGGCTTATTAACATAATAGCTTATAACTACAGTAGATAATTCTTATAAAAAAGAACTTACAAAAAAATTAGGTCTGGGAGCTGGTGGTTCGCACCTGTAATCATAGTTACTCAGGAGGCTGAGATCTGAGGATTACAGTTTGAAGCCAACCCAGGCAGGAAAGTCCGTGAGACTCTTATCTCCAATAAACCACACACACACACACCACACACACGTCACACACACACACACACGTCACACACACACACACACACACACACACACACACACACACACACACACACACACACACACACACACACACACACACACACACACGTCCGAAATGGAGCTATGGTTCAAATGGTAGAGTGTTACCCTTAGCAATGAAAAGTTCAGGCTACACAAAATGTCAATGAAAAGGAAAAAAAATTATAAAGTAATATAATTGGCTAGCTTAACTGGGAAAAACAAAGCCAATAATTTATTAAATAAATTTAATAAAAATTTAAGAAATTTTTAAAAAAAGAAGTATGAACAGTTTATTTGATATTAAAATTTAACAAATTTAGCCATGTTTTTTCTCTTTCAGTACCTTGTATTTATCATAAACTACATTCCCCCTTGTTTTTTTTTTTTTCTGTCAGTTCTGGGGTTTAAACTCAAGGCTTTGCATTCATGTGGCTTCCTTGCTTTGAACCTTTGGCTTCAAACCTCAATCCTCTATATCAGCCTACTGAGTGGCTTGGATTACAGGCATCTACTATCATTGTCCATCTTTATTTTTTGCTTGTTTAGAATACTACTTTTCAGGCTCTATGTATCATTTTCAGTTTTGTAACCTGCAATGTCTATATTTGGGATGGGTTCTAGAACACAGTATACTTTAATGGATCTTTGCTGAATGAAAATAGCAGCACCAAAATCCCCAAGAAACTGTTATTTTGAAGACACAAATTTTATGTATCCAGGGCTGGGAAGGTGGCTCAGTGGTGGAGCGCTTGCCTTGCACGCTTGAGGCCCTGGGTTCGATTCCTCAGCACCACATAAGCAAAAAGAAAAAAGCCGGAAGTGGCGCTGTGGCTCAAGTGGTAGAGCGCTAGCCTTGAGCTGAAGAGCTGAGGGACAGCGCCCAGACCCAGAGTTCAGGCCCCACGACCGGACCCCCCCCAAAAAAAAAAAAAAAAAAAAAAAAATTTTATGTATCCATTAAACAACCTCATATATATTAGGTAGCTGATTTTTGAAGTCACTTTGTATAGCTAACATTTGCTGAGTATTTACTTGTGCTAAGCATTATGCTAAATAATAAATTTGTTAAAACTTAACAAATGTATGCTGACTGAAAGTGTTATGTTATACAGACAGGAGGGTAATTTGTACATGAAGAATTATATAGTAGATAAGTGGTAGAATCCAGATTTGAACCTGGGTAATTTTACTCTTTAAAATAATAATCCTAAGCCTGGTGTCATAAATCTGGAATGCTGTCTTACCACATATTTCTCATAGAATTTCAAGTAAGACTATCTCAAACAAAGTAATACCCAGTAGAGACCAGTGACATGGGCTGAAGTGATTGGAAAAGATTTCTGGCCTTCACTTTCTACTTATTTGAAACAGAATTTTCAATGAATCAATATATTCTCAAGGGAATCCTGAAACACTCAAAACAAAAACAAAAACCACAAGTGGGCCAGGGTGGCAGTAGTTCATGACTGCAATACCAACTACTAAGAAGACAGATCTGAAGATCATGGTTCAAAGCCAGCCCAGGCAGGAAAGTCCATGAGACTCTTATTTCCAATTAACCACCAAAAAAAGCTGGAAGTGAACCCGTGGTTCAAGTGGTAGGTGCAAAAATGCTAAGGGACAGTATCTAGGCCCTGGGTTCAAGCCTCAGGACCTCCACAAAAAAACAAATAAAACAAAAAGAAAACAAAAAACTGTTGTGTTCATGCAAACAAAAATAACCAAAACATCTACAGAGCTTAGTTTTTTTCTTTTTTCTAATATTTTAGTAAGGGATGAGATAGAGTGAGAAGAGTCACTAAAAAGAACTATCCTCTTAAATATATTGAAAATCTTTCTGAGTATATAGACACATGCCTGTAATCCCAGCTTCTCAGAAAGTATGAGGTGGGAGGGTTTGAGTTCAAGTCTATCTGGAACAACTTAGTGAGAGATTCCCATCTCAAAAATAAAACTTAACAAAAACAAGTAAAAGTTAAAAGAGAAATCCTTACTTATTGAACCACTTCTCTAGCCCCTTTTTACAATGATTATTTTATAATAGGGCCTCGCTTCCTGCCAGGGCTCCCAAACAGACCTTTATATACCTATTTTGGAATAACAGGTACATGTCACTGTGTCCAGCTGTTGGTTGCGAAGGGTTCTCTTGAAATTTCCTGACTGACTGGCCTTGAACTACTCTCCTCCCAATCTCGGCCTTCTAAGTAGCTAGGATTACAGGTGTGAACCACCAGCGCCCAACCATACTGCAAATCTTAAACCACAAACTATGAAAGCAGAATTAGTGACATATAACTATACAGTTCCTTACACATTAACTTTTTACTTTTTGAAACAGTCTTGCTTCATAACCCAGGCTGGTCTAGAAATCTTTATGAAGTCCAGACTGTCCTTCAATTCTTCTTGCCTCTGCTTTCCAAATACTGGTATTACGAACTGGAGCACTCACATCCGGCTCACTCCTCCAACTTCAAATTAACTAGGGTTTCCCTGAAGTTGTCTAGAAGACAATCTACAACATGCTAGTATCAAACACACATAAAATTGAGTGTTACCTGTCTTACAACGAGTTAACTGACCTCAATTAATTGTAGAGAAGCAACTTTTATACTGATTATTAAATAGTAATTTTCAATCTAGTCTTGAATATTAAAGCAGGTTCATGGTCAAAAAAATTATCTACTCTAGAACTAGGGGCACTATAGTCCACTGGGGGACTACTATTGACACACACCTTCAATCCCAGAGGGTGGAAAACATGAGAGTCAAAGTTAGAGGCCATTATAGGCATAAAGTTAATTAGATATCCTCTCAACAAACAAGCTCAGTGTGCTGTTACACAGTTATAATCCAACCTATGTAAGAAGAAAGTGGCAGTCAAGGGATAGCTGTAGCTAAAAGTTGTAGAGCATCTGCCTAGCCTCCTATGAGGAAAATGGGCGTGATTTTTAAGTCAAATATTCATTGCATGCATTATATAGTACCATGTCCAAAAACATTATTAGAAAAAATTAATAAAGCATCCACTCACTTATAAAACACTTATAAATCTCCATCATAAACTAGTGAGCTAAGCCAAATACAACTTTTACATTTTGGCTGGCTAACATATTAAAATATATTAGAATCTTCCTCAGGCTCAGTTTTACCACATTCTACAGCTTTATTTATTTAATACTCAAAAGCCCTCAAGTTTGTGACTCCTGGATTACTTTTTGGCATTTTGTGCAGATTAAGTTAAAGTAAATCGTGCGTTTTGGAAATTTTCAAAAAAATATGATCTCTATATTATTTGATAAGTTAGCAGGTGAAATTAGATTTGTCTAGGATCAGGAAAAAAGTTTAAAAACAAAAATGGGTCTGGGAAGGTAGTTCAGTGGTAGAGTGCTTGCCTAGCATGCATGAGGCCCTGGGTTTGATTCCTCAACAGCACATAAATAGAAAAAGCTGGAAGTGGCGCTGTGGCTCAGGTGGTAGAGTGCTGGTCTTGAGCTGAAGGGCTCAGGGACAGTGTCCAGACCCAGAGTTCAGGCCCCACAACTGACCAAAAACAAAAAAGGAAAAAAAATCAACAAAGGGTGAACAAATGCAGCAGTAGTACTTGCTAAACACTATGCTGAAAATGCGTTATATAACTTATGGGTGGAGATGGGAGGAGAAAAACTGGGAGTGAGGGAAGGGATGACATATCCAAAAAGATGTGTTCTCATTACGTGACTTAACTGTAACCCCTCTGTATATCACCTTTATAATAATAATTTTAAAATGTTTTAAAGAATCAAAACAAAACAAAAACCCTTACAATTTGGAAGTCTCCCATCTTAGGAGATTCTACATTCTTAGGCCTGGTTATTAACCTGGTAGATGACAAAGTTAAACTCAATCTTTAATTTCCCAGCTAAAAAAAATTCATACATTAATTGTACAAAGGGGTTTCATTTTGGTATTTACTTGCAGCTTAATCAAATCAAATCAGATATAATCAAACTGATTTCCTAACTTTTAAACCTTAACAACCATGTGATATGTTAAGTCCCAAAAAAGTAAAAACTCCTCCTCCCCTGCATTAGTTTATTTTTGGTGGTACTGCGGTATGAATTCAGGGCCTTGAGCTTGCTAGCAAGGCACTCACTAGCAATTTTAGTTTTCATTATTTTTCGAGTAGAATCTTGTAGGATGGACTGGATAGGTATTCTCCAATTTACACTTCCTATGCAGCTTAATAACAGACATTTACCACCACAGTCAGTAGGTTTTATAGGCTGAGATTTGGCCTCAATACTTTTTTTTCTGTTGTTAGCCTTGAACTTCATCCCTATCAATTTCTGCCTCCTGCATAGCATAAGTGATTGTGCCCAGCTCCAGTGTTGTTGTTCTTTTATCTTGAAGCATTGATTCACATAGATATTTTTTAATTAACAGTCTCATCTGAGACAGTAAAAAGTGAACTAAAGAAGTATTTGGATAGAATGAAGCCTATTTAGGAAAAGATGGTCTCTTTAGTTAATGGACTCCATGTATTTTTTTTTGGGGGGGGGGAGGGGTCCGGTCGTGGGGCCTGAACTCTGGGCCTGGGCGCGGTCCCTCAGCTCTTCAGCTCGAGGCTAGTGCTCTACCACTTGAGTCACAGCGCCACTTCCGGCTTTTTTCTTTTTTTGCTTATGTGGTGCTGAGGAACTGAACCCAGGGCCTCAGGCATGCAAGGCAAGCGCTCTACCACTGAGCCAACTTCCCAGCCCTGGACTCCATGTATTATAAGCTAACTCAGGCTACGAAGAGTCTTCCCCCAAAAGGAGCATTTACTATGTATTAAGTTCCTTCTATGTCAGACACTGTAGTTACAAGGCAAATATGTGTTTTTCTAGTGAATCTAATCTTACTATTTTTTTTCAGGGAGCTAGTTTAATAGCACTCTATATAAGTTCTGTAAGCCAAGGGTTCACATTTGTCTTCTTTAATATATCCTAGCATCTAGCACAAAATGAGTATTTTCTTATATGTTTCTACAAAAACTTATAACCTTTTAATCACTTTGGGTGTTTTTATGAGGTGATGTATAAACCTAATTAACATTTTGCTTATAATAAACTTGCAGTGATCTAATAGTCAGCTATGTAACACAACAGCATTAACAGTCTTAGGACCAAATTACTAGAATTGAGAAACACAGTTCAGTGGTAGGACACTTGCTTGAAGCCCTTGGTCTTATCCCAATATCAAGAAAGAAAAAGCATTGAATTACTTGTATTAAATAGACAACTTGGGCTCTTATCCCTAGATGATACGTTCCTTCAAAACAAGTTATAGCATTAGAGATACTTCATAATTTAGACAAATTCTACTTGCTCCTTGGTTTTACAACAACATATTAGCATTTATACATCATTGGAAACATCTGTAAGAGTTTGGTTTCTCTCTGTGAATTACATTCATGCCACTTGAACAGTACTTCCAACAGAATTGCTTTTATTTTTACTTTAAAAAAAATTACACTTGAGTAAGGAAAAAGTAAGTCATAAAGAGTCATTAAAATCTACTTTCAATCACTATAAAGGTATCAGAACAAAAGAATAGAACATTTTACCTCCAAATTCATATCAATAATAATTTATCCTAATTCCATTTAAAAGAATGCTGTTAATAAACAGAATCCAGACTTTTTTTTACTTGACAAGCCAGGAATTCACCTTTTACTTATTATTTCTGAGACACAAGTCACTATACAATTATTTCTTGACAATGTAAAGAATATGCTATATTATAGAAGCATTAAATTTTATAAAATCATGAAAACATCTTAATAAGTAAAATGTATTTATCTCACTATTTCAGTCCATACTTGGTTCATTCAGAATATTCCATTTTTGGCAATCAATAGAATTCATTACATACTAAAAATAACACCATATTTATGCACAAATAAATTAATTTTTCCAGTAAGAGCTAATCTAACTTTAAGAAGATTTCCCACATATTCACAGTAAAGAATATCACAGAATACCCATATCTGGCCTAACTGTCTCTGAATTGTAGCATTACAGGAAGGAAGTTCATTGTGTCTAATAATTCGAGTGAGTTTCACCCAAATGTTTTCCAGAGACTGATTACTGCAAACAGTATGTTCTATTGTCCATCTTGCTCTATATAATGAGTGCAAATTTAGTGCCTTTATGCATTCTTGTAATTTTTTAGACAGAGGAAAAATCTTTTTGGTGCAATTATTTCTGGCAATTGAAACACTCCAAGATCTCTTCTTGTGTTGTCTTCTTTTTTCTGATTTTTCATCCTGATTTCCTGAATTAGTCTGTTCAGTCAATGTGTGTGACTGGATTAAGTGCTGCCTTTTCAAGGCTGGTTGAAACTCCAAAAGATCTACTGTGCAATCATAACTCTGTGTTTTTGCACCATGTTCTGAAATGGTCAAGTCCTGTTTCATATCTTCAACTGCTTCTCCAGAAATAATAGGTGGTAATCCTTTGGGTTTGAGTGGAAGTTTGGATCCATCATGAGGAAACCAAGGAATGAATCTTGATAATGGATGAATAGGAAAGTCTTGAATTGCCTTTTCTGCAATCTTTGGCAGTTGTGTGCAATCATACTCATATGGTCGATAATGCAATATTACTTGTGTAGTCATTTTGCAGTAATTCAATAACTCTTAATGAAGAGAAAATTTCTTAGCTGAACTCCTCAGAGCTAGAATGCAATTTATTATTACAAGACTGTATCGCTTGTCAAATCAGAGGCAACAGGACCTAAAGTAGAAGTATTGCAAAAAATAAGATATAGTACAGAAAACCTGTATACAAACAGGTAGGGAGAAAAACAAAACAAAAACAAACAAAAAAGTCCCTATATATAATTTTAATCAAATACCATCAGCAAATGTGAATGTAATGGACAACCGTGAAAATCCTTTCTCAACGGAATAGGAGATGCTTATTAAGATCACTTCCAGCTCAAAATCTTAGTTGTTAACATGTCTAACTCAATAGAAATAAAACACTTCAAAGTATTAATACATTAAGCTATCTTAGTCTTAAAAATTTAGCAGAGGCTGGGCACTGGTGGCTCACACCTGTAATCCTAGCTACTACTCAGAAGATTGAGATATAAGGATCACCATTCCAAACCATCTGGGGCAGGAAAGACCTTGAGACTCTTACCTCCAATTAACCACGGAAAACTGGAAGTGGTGCTGTGGCTTAAAGTAGTAGAGCACTGACCTTGAGAGAAAAATCTCAGAGATTGTGCCCAGGCCCTGAGTTCAAGCCCCATGACTGAGAAAACAAACAAACCAACAAACAAAAGAAAACCTGTAACAGAAACAGAGTACTCTAGTGATTCTTAAAATACTGGAGTCATATAATATAGTACTTAAAAATCTGAGATATCTGAAGTGAATATAATGAAATCAGTATAATTTTTAATCTATATGGGAGAAAAGGAGTTGCCTTTATTTTTATGAATTCTACCAAATATAGATATTTAGGTATGATACATCATTCTCAGATGTAAATACCAAAAAATGCATATGGCTGGTTATAAGTCAAAGTCTTCTCTGTATAACCTGGGCACTTTCACTGTATTAAGACCTCAGTACCATGGCTCCAAAATTTCACTTTGGAGGAAGAATAAGAACTAGACTTTATTTTTTCACCCACAGATGTTCTCAGTTGTCTTCAACTGAAGCCACTGATAATAAGTTTCAGCACACCTCTGCTCCAGGATGTGATTAAGTTGGGCTTCTTAACTAAGTTATAAGACTCATAATGCAGGCCTTTTCATATCCTAATCTACTATAGAAAAAAAAAGTAAAAAAAAAGTAAGAGGATGAATCCCTTCCTACCCCAACTTATTAGAGAACTAATTAATGAGGGTTCTCCCAGCTGGAGGATTATCAATGATAGATACACCTATCATTATGTCTTAAGAGATCCCAAGTCTGATTCTGAAGAGTTAAGAAGTAACTACTCACATAATCCTGTCTACTAATAGGTTTGGTAACTCTCAAATTTGTAAATGAATGCTTAACATCCATAGTTTTAATAGGTGGTAGCATATTTTTAAATATGTGATAACATATTTTCCCAAGAATAATAGTTCTCTTATTTTCCCAAGAATAACTTTTTCTCTTTCCTTAAATTGTGTAGGACATTGAAAATTCTTTCATTGTTGTCTGAATTTATTCATTATTGTACTCAGGGTCAACTGAAGTTGTGAGAGCTTCATTTAAATAATGTTCTTTTTATTGAAGAGCAACAAGATACGATCTTAGCAGTTTACATTTTAATATAAGAAAAGCAAACAAGTGACCATTTAAATTGATATATTTTTTGGCACCAATAAAATTAGAACTTGTGAAAACTCTGAATTAACTAAAACATCAGGGGAAGAACAGTACCAAAGGTGAAAAACTATCGACATAATGCACTTGTCCTTTTACTCCTTAAATATTCTTTACTAGGTATCTTGTGGGGTTTTTGTTTTGCCAGTCCTGGGGTTTGAACTCAGGGTCTGGGCATTGTCCTTAAGCTAATTTTGCTCAAGGCTAGCACTCTACCACTTGAGCCACAGCACCACTTCCAGCTTTTTCATTTTTTGTCATCGGTTGTGGGGCCTGAACTCTGGGACTGGGTGCTGTCCCTCAGCTCTTCAGCTCAAGGCTAGTACTCTACCACTTGAGCCAAGTACCACTTCCGGCTTTTTCTGCTTACGTGGTGCTGAGAAATCAAACCCAGGGCCTCATGCATGCAAGGTCATTGCAGCTTTTTCTGTCTATGTAGTACTGAAGAACGGAGCCTAGGGCTTCACGCATGCTAAGCAAGTACTCTACCACTAAGCCACATTCCTAGACTGATATCTTGTATTTTTCTGTTTTTGCTTTTTGTGAGGTTTGTTGTTTTTGTCGGTCATGGGGCTTGAACTCTGGGCCTGGGCGCTGTCACTCAGCAATTCAGCTCAAGGCTAGTGTTCTACCACTTGAGCCACAGAGCCACTTCCGGTTTTCTAGTCGTTTACTGGAAGTAAGAGTCTCATGGACTTTCCTGCAGGGCTGGCTTTGAACCATTATCTTTAGATTTCAACTTCCTGAATAGTTAGGATTACAAGCGTGAGGTACAAGTGCCCGGCTATCTTGCGTTTTTGAAACAGAAAAATAAACAACAGAAACGACAGAAAACTAAAAATTTCCAATGGCAATTAGACTTCATATACCTAGAATTTGTGTCTAATAGTATCATAGTGTTCAATTTGTATAAAGTCACATCTAGCAACTAATATAATTGCTCCAAATTCAAAGAAGTCAGTAAGGTAATGAATAATCTGAAAATGCTATTTCACTCATTAGGAGACAGACAAAACAACACCATAAAATGGTGTTCAAATGTTACTAGGAATGTGATCTTGGAAAAGTTGCTTTCAACCTCCTTTATACATACTTGATGTGAGACTAAGGTAGTGAATATAAAGTAGGTTTCTTTTATCTATAGTCTACTTTAGTCTACATCATCTGCTCAGGCTAAACATACAGGTTCCGTTGCTATATCAATATTGCAAAGTTTTTACATTCTACATTAAGAGGCAATCTTGTCCACTCCAGCTATCAGTGTATGACTGAATATGGATGCCATCAGAAAGTTAAGTGCAATTCAAATGAATTCAAGTATCTACCTAGCATTTCTCCACCACAATACAAGAAGGCATTGATGAATGGAGCGTCCAACTGCAATACCAACTTTGCAGATAAAAGTCTGGGGACTCTGTTCGTGCCACACAGAGATAGAAAACTTCCCATTAAATGTCCGCTGTAATTTAATCTGGTTCAGAAATCTATCTCTCCAATAGGGTCAGAGCGGCAGTTTCCGAGAGTAACATCTAGTGATTACAGACTGCAGTGTGGACCACAACCATGGATTATTATCAGGTTTATATTTCATTCTAGAAAACAGCTTTTTCGTGTGTGTGCGTGAGTGTGTGTGTGTATGTAAGAGAGAGGGAGGATGGAGGGAGAGAGGGCGAAAGAGAGGACGCGCGGGTCCTGGGACTCGAACTCAGGGCCCGAAGGTTGTCCCTGGCCTTTTTTGGTCAAGGTTAAGCAGTTTAACACGGGAGCCACAGCTCCACTTCTGGCTTTTAGGTGGTTAACCGTAGACAGAGTCTGGTGGTACTTTCTACCTAGATTGACTCCCAACTGTAAGCCTGAGATCATAGATTGCTGAGTATCTAGGGTTGAGGCGTGAGCCACGGGAGTCCGGCTGGAAGGCAGCTCCTAAGCCTGAAACCGAAACGGGGTGAAACTCCTCGTGTTGGTGGCCGAGGCGAGCACTGGCAGGACTTCTGGACGAGGCCTACGCCCCAGAGGCCGAGTCCACGCAAGAGAGTCTCAGAAGGAAAGAAAACAGTAAGGAGACCCACGACCACCCAAGTTTACCTTTCAGCGCCAGCAGGTGCTCCTGTTTGGGGGGATTCACTTCCATGTTGACCGGCACTTTGCCCGGCGGCCTACGGGGGCTGACGAGGTCCACCGTGGCCCGGAAGAAAACGGAAAAGCGCACTCGCGGGAAGGCGGCTTCCAGCGCCCACGCAGCGGCTTCGTTTGGCTGGTAGTCCCTAAAATACTTAAATTTTGCTATGTCCTTTAAAGCTCCAACGGCTTCTTTCTCCCAGAGTCATTTCTAAAGTCTCAGAGACACTAAGCATTAAGAAAAGCTAGTTTCCGGCTAAAAAAAGAATCACACAAAAGGACTTCACGAAACCAACGCCGCGTCTGACGCTAGCGAAAGCCTACGAAGCGGAGGGGCGGGGTAGAGAAAAGGACTGTGGCATGCTGGGATTTGTAGTTTCTCTATATGTGCATACCACTGCATGCAGGGGGGTGTAGTCCACTCCGGTCTCCTCCCGGCTAGTTTGCAGTTTGGAGAAGAAATCTTGCCGAAGCAGTGGTCACACCTAAAATTTTACTTCTACTCTTTGTTTAACTTTTTTTTTTTTTTTTTAAATTTTCCATCCATGACTCGCAGACTTTCTGAAAAATAAAAGTGCGCATGCGCACTTTGGCTGTGCCGCCAAACGGCCTGCGACTGACGTGGGGGAGTGGAGAGAGCAGGGAGCTGCCCTCTCAACTGTAGTGCGCCTGTTCACCAAGCAGCGCGCGCGGGTGCCTCTGGGTAGCCGGTGGCTGAACCCCGCCTCACAGTTGAAGGCTCTGACGGCTGCATCTTCGGCGCCGCTCCTTCCAGGATGGCTACCCTGGTTGTAAACAAGCTAGCAGCCGGACTAGACAGTGGCCGGCAGGGCAGCCGGGGTATGACTGTGGTGAAGGTGAGCGACCTTGCGTGCTCTGTTCTCCACCATCGGCCTCCCTTTGGTCCATCCTGGAAATCTGGCTGCGTCGTTGAGGCCCGATCTTGGATGGGCGGGATGCGCGACCTCGGGCCGGCCCCCCCAGAGGCCTTACTGGTCTCCCCCTCCTTACTCCTCTGTTACCCTTACCCTCCGGGCCCGCCAGGTCTGTTTATACAGATTAAGAGACGTGTTTGTAGGAAAGGACTTTGTGGGCCTGTGAGAGAGATCTGTGTTGCTCTGTCTCCAGGTCCTTTGCATTTAGCAAAGTCAACAGGCATGAATTAGCTTATTCAAAAAAAGAATTGGGCTGAGCCATTGCCATCGTTCATATCTACTTTTGTGGTAGATGTTAATTCATATTTTACAATAGTGAAGGAAACCCAGATTTACATAAGCGCAGTATGTGGCAAAAGTTCTGAGTTTCTGGCCCTAAAGTCTGCTTTTCTTGACTGTACTTTGTAATCATACATGTGTTAGTTGTTGAGATGCCTGGCCCCTCTGCTTTTAGTATTCTCTGAATTTTGAGACGTCTCCTACTGCAGCGTAACCTGTCATTAACACTGATGTATGAATTGCCCTATGCTTGAAGTTGGGCTTTCTTCAATGTATAAATAAATGATTAAAGATGCATTTACTCATAGTTAACATATGTGAAACTATTCTCGTACATTGAAATATGGAAAGATATGGAGAGAATAACTGTGTACCCTCCAGGATCGTATGTAAAGACATTGGTAACTCTCTTTTGTGACTATATGTCAACATATAGTCCTGTAATTCTGATTATAATACTGATATTAATATAATTTTTAAAATTTCCACAAGTAGTTTTAGTGTACAATCACAATTGACTTCAGAAATATGAAGTCCTTTTAATGTCTTGAATTGGCACCGGTAATTTCCCATTGAGGTTTGGTTTTATTTGGCAACAAATAAAATATTTATATCCATCACTTATTATTAGTCAATATTAGTGGATAATGATGCACAGCATAACTCGTTATAAGGCATATTATATAGTTGAGAGTTCCTTTTTTGAATTGTGCTTTTGCTAAGTAGAAGATAATGAAGATTATTTTGTGAGTAATTTGTAAGTTTTAGTCCACAATTGGAGTGGGTGTCATAGCTATTTCCATTTCTGTTAATCTCAAAAGTGTACGTAACTTGGGTGTAATCCCACTTTGTTAGACCACTGGATTTGATATATAAGAGGCACACTTCCTTTTCATTTTCATCTTAGCTTGTAAAATGTGCCTAACTGTAATATGAGAAACCTTTTTGAGAAAGCAAGAAGTAGTCATTGAAAGGAAAAGGTCAAAGTAAGTAATGTTATTAATATGTAAAACAGCCTCTTGTTAAACAAACAAGTTGGTGATGACAGAGTCACTAGGGAAAACAAAAATCTGATATTGTGAAGTAAGTTTAGAAATATATTACAGAATTTTCAAAATGAGCCTTTTTTAGTATTTATGGCTATAGTCTTAATTTATGGTTTATTAAATTTGATTTATATATAAGTTTGAAGATTCATTTGTAATATCTGCAATGTAATATTAAAAGTGTGTTTTTAAAATCTAGGACCAGGAACTGGTGGATCATACCTGCATTCCTAGCTACTCAGGAGGCAGAGAGATGAGGATTGTAGTTGGAAAGCAGCCCAAGCAAGAAAAGTCCCCTTGAGACTCTGCAATTAACCACTCACAAAGCAGAAGTCCAGCTGTGGCAAAAAGTGGTAGAGCACTAGCCTTGAGAAAAGATCTCAGGGATAGCACCCAGGTCCTGAGTTCAAGCCTCAGAGACAACAAGGAAAAAAAATATATATCAGTGCTTAATTTATTATTCTGTTAGCTGCAAGTCCCATTCATAGATACTGAGGAAAAATTTCTTAGTGTATTATTTGCTAAGTAGAAACTTGTATTCTTCTTGGACCTTTGTTTCACTGATCATACATCTATTAGTTGTTGAGATACCTGTCCCCTCCTCTTTTAGTATTCTCTGAATTTTGAGACTTAAGTGGTCATTAACACTGATGTATGAATTGCCCTATGCTTGAAGTTGAGCTTTCTTCAATGTATAAATAAATGATTAAAAATGCATTTACTCATAGTTAACATACGTGAAACTATGTTCTAGTGCTTTTCAAAAAAATTTTCTGCTGGCAATGTAAATTCTCTAGTGCAGGGATTGGATTAGAGAAGTAAGATATAAATGAACTAAGAAAGATTTAATTTTTTTACTTTATTGTCCTAGCTTTATTATATAATCACAATGAGAGCATTTATAAGAATGTTGAATTTGTTTTCTAATACCTAATTCTGTGTTGAATTTGGAAAAGTGAAATATCTTTAAAAATATAGGCTAAATTAAAATGTCTGTGTCTATGTTTAATTTTTTTTTCTTTTTTTGTCAGTTGTGTGGCCTGAACTCTGGGCCTGGGCACTGTCCCTCAGCTCCTCAGCTAAGGCTAGTGCTCCACTTGAGTCACAGCATCACTTCTGGCTTTTTCTGCTTATGTGGTGCTGAGGAATTGAACCCAGGGCCTCATGCATGCAAGACAAGCACGCTACCACTGAGCCACATTCCCAGCTCTCTATGTATAATTTATGCATAGCTTTGCCCCAATGGTTTCTCATAGGAAACCGATGTCCTAAGGTGAATTGGTTTCCTACATACCCTACCAGGAAGACACTATGCTAATATAACAATTTTCACTTTGCTTTATTCATATTTATTCATATTCTCTCTCCCTCATTCCCCCTACCCTCTAAAAATCTTCCTAAGGTTTCTTACTAATCTGGGTAATTTTATAGCATATAAATTTAATTTCTTTTCCAATTTGGTATTGATGTATATATTCTTTGTTTTCAATTTTTTGTGTCTGTATTGGGGTTTGAATTCAGGGCTAGGATGTGTTTTCAATTTTTAGATGACTCAACTGGTTCTATAATGAATAACATATACATCTTGTCATATGTTTTTGAGATATTTATAATACAAATTCTTGTAGCTAGAATTATTGTTATTTAAACTATTAGTATTGTCAAGTTGCTTCTGCAGAGACTATTAATACTGAATAAATATAACAATCAGCAGTATATGACATTGATTTCATATACTATTATTAACACAGACTGTCACCCAACTTTTTGTATAAGAAAAAAAGTATCTTGGTACAATTTTACTTTTCATTTCTCTAAGAGATAGGGTAAATTTTTTATATATTAAAATTTTTTACCCCTTTTCTGCGAACTATGTTATATTTAAGTTTCTTTTGACTCATACTAGAATGAAAGATAATTATGAATTATCTGTTTATAATTAACTATGTTTTCGTCTCACTTGCTTATTAGTCAGAATTAATTACTGAAGTAAGTTTAAAATTTTAATGGATCCAATCTGGGTGCTGGTGGCTCATGCCTGTAATCCTAGACACTCATGAGGCTGAACCCTGGAGGATTATAGTTTCAGCCAGCCTGGGTAGAAAAGTCCTCCAGAATCCATCCTCCAAATAACCAGTAGAAAGCTGAACTAAAAGCCAGGTGCCATGACTCATGTCCGTACACATAGCTGCTCAGGAGGCAGAGATCTGAGGATCACAGCTCAAAGACAGTCAAGGCAGGAAAATCCAAGAGACTCTTATTTCCAACTACCAAAAAGCCAGAAGTGGAGCTGTGACTCAAGTGGTAGAGCACTAGCTTTGAGCAAAAACGCTCAGGGATTGCACCCAGGTGCTGAGTTCAAGCCCTAGGATTGGCACTAAAACAGCAAAACAAACAAACAAGGGAAGGAAGGAAGGAAGGGAGGGAGGAAGCTAAATTGGAGGTGTCAAGCACCACATGTTAACAAGAAAGCCAAATCATAGTTTGAGTTCCTGTGTTCAAGTCTTGGTACCTGTAGCCAAAATAAATAAATAAATAAATAAATAAATAAAATACCCAAAACTATAATGGATCCAGTCCAAGTTTTCTACTTTGAGGTTTCTCCTTTTTGTGTTGTGTGTTTGGTGATGACTAGAATTATTTTCAACTTTATTTTGTTGGGCTTTATTTACATACACACATAGATGCTTGTTATTTGGAACACACAGCCCTGTACTACTCTGTCTAATGGAAAGACAGGCTAGAAAGTCAAAAAAGGTGTTGGAAGTATTTGAATATTACAGTGGAATAGGCCC